TGAAAGTATTGATGCTTGACAGTACAGTTGTAATGAGAAACATTACATTTATGTTTGGACTGATTCTTATTTTTGTACAGTATCGCTATTATAAACACATTAACAAATTGTTCTGATAAAAACCGATATTTCAAATAAATCCCGCCTTTTCTTCGTGTTTCAAAGAATTATTTTCATTGAAACATTTTATACATTTTTCGCGTATGACTTGTGGCAATATGGAGACATTGAATGTAGTGTGATTTATCTCCTCTGGCTTATAGTCCAGTCGCAGGAACATTTTTGAGACGTAATTTGTTAATAACATTTTTTCCACAGTAGCTGGCACTTGTACATTTTAATGTGTTGTGTGTGTGTTGTTTTCCATAAAACATATTTATGGAAAATTAATACCCGTGTCTACTGGACTAGGTATTACCAAAATAAACTAATTTCAGTATAAAGCTACAAAATTAAGTGTATAGTCTTCCCATCTCAATTGAAGAACAAGAGGTTGGCAGTATGTACCACTCGAAACTTATTCCCATATTTATTTAGCCATACCTATGTTATATACAAGTCTGGTCGCCCAGTTGAATGAGCGCGCGGCACAAACACAGCCGCACTGGGCGACCTGGCCATAAATTCAGTTGTCAACAAATGGCCTAGTAGTGCAGTGCAGCAATACGGAATTTGGTGTGATTCAAAGGGAGAAATAAGAGGGATATTTTGTTTACTAATATTATTAAAACATGGCATTTTGGAGACCTTTTGAAACGGAACAAAACTAAATTTACCACCAATAGAATAAAATTGTTTGAGGACATAAATAATTAAAATCAAATGAACATATATAAGAAATTTTCTACACACTATTATAATTTTTTACCTTCAGTAGAAAACTTTTTAGGGACGGCTATGAAACTCATTCAATTTTATTGCTAGCCGTTTTTATACATGTTCAACTGACTTCGGAAAGACTATAATAACCTAGTTTTGTATAAATACTGTTTTAGTTGTTAGAATTAGGGTCTATTTCAAACGCAAATTACTCCCTTAACTTTTTGTTCTTTCTAAATAAATCAGAAACGAGGATTTATCAAATTTGTGTAATCCTTTTGAAAAAATAAATGAAGGTATCTATTCTAATGATAAATCTTGAATTATACAGCAACTGTTGTACTTTATAGAATTCTAATAGCCCAGGAACGATGTACAAATTATTATAATTTTTTACCTTCAGCAGAAAACTTTTTTAGGGACTCCGATGAAACTCATTTAATTTTATTATTAGGCGTTTTTATACATGTTCAACTGACTTCTGAAAGACTTAAACACACATATACGCTTATTAACATTTTACATTCTGTAAATTATCCGAATATCGGAAATAGATTGCCGTAAGCTCTAATTTTACTAATCTATTTTTGAGGAAGCGCATCAGAAAATGTTACGCAAACCCCACCCACTAATCATGTGTTTATTTAGAACAACTCCAGATGATTCTTTTTTATTTATCTACGGTCGAAGGTTGATACAGAACCCTATTTATTTCAGGTGGCCCAGAGGCTTAGATATGGCAACTCAAAGAGGGCTATTTTTGGAAATAATGTATTTCTATGACAAATGGGGTTATTTATAGACGTGATAAATAAATGACTACGCGGTGCATCTCATTCATTATTAGTGGTTCTACGTAGCATTAAAATAGTTAGAAAAAGTACAAAAATAGCTGAAATATGGCGATGGCTGATATTTATTTGAACGAAAGTTATAGAAATGCTTCTGATACGTATATTTCACAGTTTAAAAAGGCAAACATAGAAGCGGGATAACAGGCTTCGAAACAAAATCAATTTTATTTGTTTATGAAAAAAAAAGTCAGATTATTCGTTTAGAACCACTTTTTTCGACAATCAAATAATCGAAGCTCGAACTTTCCCTAGAAACAAGTACTAAATTATGTGCTAGTGACGTTTTTTTTTTGTTATAATTGTGTGTTTGATAAGTTTCCCTTATTTAGCGACATCATAATCTTGAATCATTCAAAACATAGCAACCATAAATACGTTGCAAAATGTATTATTTTTCCGATTATTTTAACAGTTGTTTATTCAACAGATATTTTGTTATTTTTAATTTTGTAGTCATTTATTTCATCATTTATCTTAGTATTGAGTTTGGCAGCGTATACCGAAAAATTTTTCTGTGTACAACACTGTTTTATCACAACTCATTAATTATAATACATATTATACAGGGTGTAAGGAGTTTGACTGCCATTACTTCAGCATGAGATAGAGTAATCACAAATGAACAAAAAAGTTGTATATTATAGGGGCGAAACATTAACACTTTTCAAAATACAGCGAGTATTAATATTGGGGAGTTTCATCACAACGTGACAACAGCGCTTAACCTGCTGATGCACACCATGTGTACACGCGGCAGACTTGTCCTACGGAAAAAATGTAAACAACTATTATTGTGAAACGTTTAGTAAATTTAAAGACAATTGTTTTCCAGTTTTTAAATAAATAAAATAAAATGCATCGATTTTGTAGTACGGAGATAGTGTTGTGCTTAAATTTTAGCTCGAATTTTAGTAATTATCAATCTCTTAAACATGAACTTAACTTTTAATCAAATTACATATTTGAAAAATATGTAATTAAAGTACCCAAAGATTCATGTCTTCCAAATAATCATACGTATTAAAAATAATTTAGGTACTTACCAAAAAGCAAAATTCAGTAATTTTTAATCGCACAAGTACTAAACAAACTACAACATATGTTCAAAATGTCCACCACCATTTTCGATGCACGCACGATAACCTTAGAATCCAATATTCGCGCACACGCTGGAAAATACGTCAAGAAAAGGAAATAGTAATACGCAAAAAACACTCCGACACGGTCGATCCAGATACCAACTGAATTGCATATTGGTGGTTCCTGGACACCTTAGTACCTCGTGTTAATAAACCGCCGCGCCGTTGTCACATTGCTCGTTGTGAATTTTATCGATTTTTAAATTTATTACAACGCTTATTATTTTTTTTAATTAAGCATAAAGAAGTTAAAAAAAGTGATAAACATTGTATTTTATGGTATTCTATGCACGCAGTTATATCAATATTCCTTGATTAATCGACATCAAGTTGGAGATTTGCATAATTTTTTCTCGGAAATTTGTTGAGTTTAGGACCCATGTCATATAAGTTTTTTTTTGTTTATTTGAATGTATTCTATCGTCTGTTAAAATTAAGATAGTCAAACTTCAGACACCCTGTATAAGTGTAACTAAGTAATAAAATTGCTCTTGGTAATATCAGTTGATTTCACTCTTCTCCTTTCATCAGTGGTGGCTAGTGCGGGGGGTTCTGGGGCGACGCCCCCCTAGAAATTTTCATAGTAAAAAAGTATTTAATATTTAGTTTACAATGTTACCTGGTTAACTAAATAGATTAGCCTCATGAAACACATTAAGTTAAATTTATAATGTGCAGTCAATTTAACTGGACTTGCAAAATTCGTTTGAAAAACTAGATTTCGCGTAGCTCGCTCCTACATCTGTAAAGTGTTTACAGCGGTGGTCATGGTTACCGTCACGCAGCAGTGAAAGACGAAATGCGTATGTACTATACAGTTTGGGCCTGTTTAGTCCGACCGACCGTAACCAAATATTAGCTACTCACGGCATTTTTTCTTATTAAGCGTAATTTGTTCAGGTGAGGTGTAAAATTTTGTTACTTACGTATTGCTTCTTGTGTGTTTTTTAAAAGATTGTAAAAGTTTAAGTAGATTGTAAAGACATACTAACAGTAATGTATTGAATCAATGGTACAAGAAATACTGAACTTTATTGAAAAAATAATTAAAAATTTATTTCGGACAAAAGCAGAAGAATGGACTTTCACTATAAAAAAATAGTGTTGAACACATTTTCCCTGTATTTCAATAGTACTTGAAATAAAACTGCCCAATTATATATAATTTTTTTTTTTTCAATACTTTGTACCCCCTTGGTATGGAAGTCAAGACCCGCCACTGCCTTTCATTAATCAAAAACGCTGTTTTTACCTCTGTCCACGGTGACCAAAAATGAAACCTCGCATTCTTTGGTGAATTTTAAGGGGAGTTTTTCGTATAAAGTTTTTACTTAGGACGCTTCGTTAAAAAGATACAGGGTGTTAAACTTAAAAAAATGTTTTTAATTTTTTTAAATAATTTAAAAACTAGTAAGTGAAATAATTTGAAATGGGGTACATGTATGTATGTAAATATTGTCCAAAATTTGAGGCCTTTTCCTAAAATTTAGATGCTCCAGTGGCGGAGATACAGGATACCGGTGGCATATTTTTCTAAATAAAACAGTACGTCACTGGTTTACGGTAACAATTATGATATTTTCGGATTTGTCGTTCAATTTTCTATAAATTACTACCCTCTTATGTTTTACGAAAAAAGCCTGATTTTCGAGTAAAACTTAAAAACGAACCGAAAGGTTTCATTTTTGGTAACCGTTTGTGAATCACCCTGTATATAAGACCTTCAGGGCTGATTTTTTTATCGATGGTTTGATAAATTGTTGCAGGTGGTAGGAACTGTTAATACATACATAAATAGAAATATGTGTGTTTAGAAAAATGTTTTTGGCGACAATAAAATTAACCAAGAGAATATTTATTCGAGACATGGATTAAACTGCTGCAGAGTAGTTGATGAACTTCATGAAACTACTGTCGGTATTTTGCTATTGATTTTATGGTGTGAAAATAGATGTCAATTCTTCTAAATTATGTTTTTTAAAGAAATGTCTAACAATTATGACGTCTGATATAACAAATTTGCCTCAACGGTAGCATTGGTGGAGGAAAAACTAATGCAGACGATACATTGGGGTCTATGTTATGCTTCAACAGTCAACTTCATGTCCAAAACAAAATCTTTTTCCTTATTCCACGTCTATTCTACTCTGGCCACCTTTTTTATAACCGATTATAGACGAAAACTTACAGCGAAATAGTCATACGCTTCGTCGCAGGTATCCAAAAACTCTTGGGCCAGGGGTTCGTCCCTACAGTAGTGCACATGCTTGTCGAAATCCCTCTCCAACCTAAGAAACGTCTTTCCCAACAGGAGCGGTTCTTTGGCATAGTACTTCACACCTTCCATCAACACCCTGAAAGTTTGATCAATATTGGAACGATTCTCTTTATGTCGATGAAAATTTGTCTTACGTCCTGTGAAATTCAGCGATTTCCTTCAGGTTTCCGAAGACGACGTCGAAGTTGTTCTTGATGACCTTCGGAACCTTTCCGGATTCGGTGGGGATAAGGTAGTTCTGAACCACTTGGTCCAAGTCTCTTACAAATTCCTGTTCAGTCTCTACCAGTTCCTTGATAACGGCCCTAAAAAAATTCGTTTCAAGTAAAACAATCGTTCTATTTTAATGACTGAGTCGTAATTTTTAATAGTTATGGAATAAGACATCAAAATTCGATAAAGAAACTTCGTCATTCTTCCCGCGACATTCACTTTTGGCTCCGGGGTCATTGATCTTTGGCATCAGAGGTCATTGGCATTTAACCCCCATTGATTAATGTATACTTAAAGCGCTAGTAAAACTTTTCCCGCTTTTATTTCTTTGTGTGTCCTTACCGTCTTCTAAATTCTGCATCTCCAGGCAAGCCTGTGGTGCCGAGAGCAGGATCGTCAGCGGTTTGCAGGATTTTGCACGGGACCCATCCTTGCCTTCTGCCTCCACTCACCTCTCTTACAAGCCATCTACAAAGATAAGCGTTTTAAAAACAATTTTTAAATCAATAGAACCTATTTCCTTGGATCAAACAATTGTTCAAAGATTTTTGTTTTGTGGAAAGTGCAAATTACCTTTGATTTATATTTAACCTAGTGGGGGAATGTCTGGAGCTGGCATGTCTTCTCTTCGGCTTTACGGAAAGTTTGTGGCGTGCAGCGGAGTTGTCCAATAGCTCAGCGGAGACGGCGTCTAAGTCAGGATCGAGTTTTATCCGCCTAGAAAATAAAAAAGTAATAATTTATTGGTATCTGACATTCAAATTGTTTCGACCAATAGTTTCGCAACAGGACGCGCTTGATCATTGTTTGAACGATTGGAATATGCAAGCTGACTTTACACATGATAAGATAGTCGGGCAAAAAACAAATGATCAACGTAAATTAGGCGAAACGAGAACGATCGAATACGTCACGAATATGCTTCGTTTCATTTCAGTTTATCTATTAAAAAATTTAATTTTTTGCTATCCCCTAATTCTATGCTTACTTTGCGGATGAAACTGGATCCTTGGTGTCTAGAAGCTCGACTATATCTCCTTCTTTCAAAGTTAGTTCATCTGAATTGGATGCGACGTACGCCTGCCATGCAATGAGGATCTCTCCTGTCACCTGTGGCATACAATTGCTTTTAAAACAGATTTACCAGAATAGTGATCTGCAGCAGCAGAAAAAAGCAAAGAAAGTTAATTATACCGTTTTCGATTGATACTTCTTTTCTAATTGGAGATAAAAAATATACACCTAATTTTTCTTAATATGTAGGACGTTTCTTTAGACAATATGAATTATTTTTTGAAGCCTGGGAAACATCACCATGTATATTACGTAAAAAAAGGAAATGTACAAAATTTGCAAGAAAATTATTGTAAATATAAAATACTAGAATAAAAATATATAATTGACTTTCACGAATTAACAATACGGGGTATAGCAATACTCTACCAAAATCTACAGGGTGGTCGGTTTCAACATTTGAAGGGTTTTTCCTATTTTCCGAAAAGATAAAAAAAACAGTAGGTAAGATGTCAGGACAAAAACAGAATAAAACGGCAGTAATATTTTTTTTCAAAACAAGAATCAATGTGGTCGCAACAAAAAAAATTAAAGAAGCCAAAAGAATTATGTCATCCTGTAGAATATTTCGAACGGCAATTCATATTATCCATCGATCCCCAAAAAAGTGTTAAATGTGCCGAATTTGATTGAATTTTGTTAAAAAAACTCTTGAAACAAATGAGAGAAATAGAAAACAGTTATAACAACTCTGTATCTAAAAAAGTATTTGTGGAAGTTCATTTAAACGTTTTTTCATCATTTTTTTTTTTTGGTCAGAGAATTGCCTTTACCCAGTTGAATATTGCAAGACGCTGTAGGTACAGTTTACTATCTAAAAACAAGAATAAATTTCATGTTTTAAAGTAGACATTATTTCCTATTTCGAATAATGCTCTAAAATTCATTTAAAAAACTTCAAAATTCTGCATGTATTTATATACACAAAAAGCGTATAAACAAATAATTTCAACGTACTGGATGTCGCAAAGAAAATATCATAGCCAATTGGTTCCTTCCGGAATCGTTCGCTCTTCACTTCTTGTCGGTCAAGTGTGCTTTGTAATCGTGTCAGTGTCGTACTAGGGATCTACAAACAAAACACAAACAGTCAATAAACAAACGTCACAAGGGATTTGATTATGCTAACAATATGGAAAATGAAAGGTGATCTGATTCTGGCTTAAATATTGTCGAACCAACTGCCAAACCAGGATAAAATGGTAATCTCTCAAATTCTAGTATAGGTTCCAAGATACACTACTAGAAAAAATTAAAGGAACAAAAAATTGTCATGAATCTTTTAGTGATTTTCGAAAGGCTGTATCTCGGTGGAAAATAGTCGTATCGAGATAAACAAAAAAGCATTTTGAAGCTTTAAGTCTTTAGTTTGAAGATCTTTAGACTCTTTTTTTGAGCTACGGTTATCGAGCATTCAAAAGAAATACCTCGTTTTTTTTAACGATTGTCTGTGGAGTCAGGAAAATTTTTTCAAACTCAATCAATAAACAAGTCAGTTAGCTTATTTTTTCGGCTTCTATTAATATTTGACAGGTGCCGAGAAATCGATGGTTTAATGAAAAATAACACTTGTCTTTAATCATCGATATCTCTGCAAGAAATTATTGCTCAGTAAATCCAAGAGCACTTATGAAAAGCTGAATAAATTCTCTACAAGGACCCGTCATGGTTTTCGAGGAAAAACTTTTATTTGTCCTTGACATCAATTTGAAAAAAGTGCAAAAAATGACTTTTACAGTTTTGTAGAAAATCTAGCGTTAATTTACAAATATTTATGAAAAGACTAATGTTGAGAGAATTTTTTAACAGTTCAATGTACCCACAATGTAAATTGACAAGATATGAAACCGCTTTTATGTTCTAAGTGATCAAAGTTTTGTAAAGAAATTTGTCTAAAGATCTTAATTTTAAATTATAATAGAATTTGGTTGAATACCCTCCTAATGAAATGGCTTGACAAGGCAGAAGGCGATGCATACCATCCCACAATGCTTTTAAAATTCACAAAAAATAGTTTTGCATTGCATGCACAAAATATTAACGTGTTTTATTATAGGACTTTCGTCGATCAACGATCAACGCACGTGTTTATTTTTACTTTATTTTTCGGCGCTACAAACGTCCATGTCTTGTGCCAAGTTTGTGGGTCAATATTTATTGGATTTAATTAATTCCTGAGTAAATCAAAGTTAGAAAATTCCTTTCCTCGCGCATATCGATGGCGTGTTTGCAGAAATTTCGATTTCATTCAAATGACAAAAATAAAGTTGATATGTTTAATATTACTCGGTTTTCAAAAATGTCTTCATAGCAGCGTCAGCGTAAGTCAGTTAATAATAAAATTGGAAGAAAGTCACGCTTTCGTATATCTTTGATAAAAAATTTCCCTGTTTTTGAATCGATTCAGATACAGTCAAATTTCTCCCGATATTGCTTGAAAACTTCGCCTGTTATATTTTAAATTCTTTGGTCATAGACGGTACAACATCCGCATCCAGTCTAAATTAAGTTATTGGCATGCTGCCTAATATTGTCCATCTATTAATTCATTTTAATGCATGCAAAACAAACTGTGCATAAAATTGTGGCTAACACGGGAATATTTCGTCCGTTCCAAGTTCTGCTTTTACTTACGTTCGATAGTTCTGTATAATTTGATGCCATCACTCATCCTCCAACCTAAAAAAAAAATTGAATGCAAATTAAACTAACTTGCGTTCATAAATACTAAAAATTAAATTAAAATCTCTTATTTTCTTCGCCGTTACATTTTTTTAGATGTCGCTATTATATTTTAAAATGTACACATAGGGAACTTGTTCTACTGCCATAGATGTTACAGAAGCACGTAATTTGTTTCCTCAATACATCAAATTGGTTTACTCGCCAAACCTCGCGTCGTGGAAACGCGCCTTAAATGATACTGAGGGCATCCTCACACGGCGCTAGATTCGTCGAGTGAGGCCATAAATCAAGCTGTTATTGTTCTTAAAATAGATGAAATATTATAAGTAGTAGTAAATGATCTAAGTCCAGGTTTAAAATATTAATAAGTCTTGAAAGACTTTTAAGGTAATACAAGAAATATGATACTACAATCTCTTCAAAGTACTTATCTCCCTAAGGTAAGGTATCCTTATTTTTTGATGTATGTATACTAAGAAAATTTGGCACCATCCTGTATAATTTTAAATCAAGACATGCTTTTTCAAACGAAGCTTCACTTGCCAATTGGCCATAACGAAAAATCCAAGCGCCAAACGGGTTCGGTATAAATCATTATACGCTTTACGAGTGGAAATAGTAACAAATAAACGTATTTCACACAAATTCGACGTACCTCGTCAGAAAGACGGTCTCGCCTATGCACTCACACCTCTATCGGTAAGACTAAGACATAAAATTCCATTGCAATTGATCTATATAAAGAGTGGGTCAGTCAATCTAATTAAATATCGTGGTGTTGGTGAAATGCCAGCTGTAACCATATATCAGGGGTGCCAACACGTTCAGTCACCAGTTGTTTTTTTTTTTCTAATTCGAAACAGATTGGCACGTATAGATTCGCCATCAGTCTGTCAGGAAATAACGATGTAGGGTGTTATAGGAGCATTTTTCGTTCTTAAAGTTATATTGCCAAGTGTGCCGTGGAATTTTATAGTCTTACAAACTATTATAAAATTTATACTGATATACTTTAGCTATAACGGGAAACGATTGATAATTTTTTTTCTTCATTATTGTTTTTATGTTGGATAAAGTGTACTTTACGTATAATATTATAATAAGCGTCAATTATGATGAACTTGCTCGTTGTGGTACATAATTGAGGTACGACAGTGTACGTCGACCGAAGGCATTGTTATCTTATAACACCCGTGCTGCCTTCAAAGTTTCATAGCCTACCAGGCTTATTTAATGAGGAAATTTTGTAACTGTAACTGTAAAATTTATAAAAGAATGGTTTCAATAAAAGCTGTCTGGAATCGTGTGGACCAAGTTAAAAAAATATTTTTAGCTTTACAGGGTGTTCCATTTCGCGTGGGCGCTACATAACTTTGTTATTTTAAATGGAACACCCTGTATTTTATTGCATTTTTGAATTCATTGACTAATATTAGGTGGAGTTTATTAAATGTGCATGGTGATTAAAACCTGCCGTTTTCGAGATAATCAGTTGTTTTGGAAAAAAATCACGATTTCAACTCTCTAAATGAGCCTAGATGGCGTCTAAGATTTAGAAACCTGCAATTTTCACAGTTCGTTTTGGCATAAATTACTCTGTCTTGTCATCTGTGAGCAAAACGTGTACGTTATTCGGACTCGGAAATACTGACAGCTACATTTAATAATCTTACGAGTTGAAAAACTTTTTTTTTCAAATTCATATTAATTGGCATGGGTGAATGCAAAATTGAATCCCTCTTAGGTGGAACACCCTGTATATAACTGGTACGATTTTTTTGATATAAAATATGTATTAACGTTAGCAATTGACTCAAAATAGGGTGATTATTAACGGTTAAAAATAATTTGTATTATCCATTATTATCAAACAATATCATTAAGAACATTTTTCATTTGGTACTGATCCCTCTTAGGTGGAACACCCTGTATACATATGACTGGTATGACATTTGTTTGATATAAAATATGTATTGACGTTAGCAATTGTCTCAAAATAGGTTGATTATTAACGGTTAAAAATAATTTGTATTATCCATTATTATCAAACAATATCATTAAAAACATTTTTCACTTGGTATTATTTTTTTTTAAATTGTGTAACCTGTTTGGTTGAGTGGTTTAGTACATTTCGATTTAAATTTGTAGGAAGGGATGGTGTAATAATATTAATGCGTGACCGTGCCCCACATCAACATTTACAATTTACTACATCTGGGCGTGTGCGTGTAACCAGGGAATACTATCCAAACAAATCCCAAAATAAATACAAACATCTCGTTCATAATTCAGTGATGACAGATGACAGTTTTTTTTTCAGTGTCAACTATTGCGTCACGACACTAATTTTTTCACTAACTATAAAACAAAAATGAGAACGCCAATTAACATTTTTATATTAATCTGTCATTATTTTTATTTCATTACAAATGCTTGCAGTCGCGAAATATTTGGGAATTCCTGCTTTGGCACGTTAAAAAATTGTTTTTCATCGCTTGACTCACACAACTGTATATTTTTAGAGCCAGATACAATTTGTTCGCATAAAATCAAATAAAGCTGCTCGAAAACTGCATTGAACTAAAAAAATAAACTTGCGCCGCAGACAAACCTTATATTTCCAGTTGTTTACAAACAATCAGGAATTTACTATTTCCCGGAAATTAAGAAAAACACTGCACCGAGGGGAGATTATTTCTACAAACCACAATTAATTTAAATATACGCACCAATTGTTCTTTTCGGGGTTCACTCATCACATTCCATCGTGACCACTATAAATATAATCAAGCAAGCCTCTAGTGAAACACTGACGAATCGTTCAGAGCCTACTGACCAGAGCGGTGTTCTGTACACATCCTCATGTCTCAAGTTATTCTCGTCTGCTATTTGTACTTGGCGGTTTATTACGATCACAGATTAACCACTAATTAAAATGATTGTTCCTCGTGTGATTTAATCGATTTTCGTAAACGGAAGCCGTTCGAAAGGGGTATTATTGTGTTATTAACGTGGTAACGTGGCTCGTGAAGTGGTCCCAGCTTTCGCCGATCGCTTTTTCGATGAGTCACTGTTTTTCAGTTTCGAAAAATGAAGTCATAAAATTTCTATTTAGTTCGACGGTCACTAATTTGATGTGACACTTTTATGTGTTTTGTTTTTTTTTTGTAGAAGTTAGATTGTGTAACTAATTTACTGTTAAAAATTTCTATTAATATATGGCGGCATAATTCTCAAGTGGTTAGTCTTTGAGTTGAAGATTTATGTGGGCGAGGTGACGGCATATTATTAATCAGTAGGCCACATTTGCGTCCAAGATCGAGTTGTTTCAAATACCCTTCTGTTCAGGAATGAGGAAGACCTGGAACTGTCCTAGTTTAGTCAATCGGTGCTAGGCATACTAAATTAATCCAAAATAAACGAAAAAACAACAAAATTAAACCGTGAACAATTTAAATTTAAGCAGAATGCGTTCCCGTTCCGAACGCTTGCGAAGGGCAACGGAGCTTAACCTCTTCTGCTCCTATGAAAAAGCTGCTACTGCCAGTTGACTTCACACTTGGTACGATATGATGGTAAACGGGTAAACACAAACTCGCACGTTAATTCGACGTAATGGGATTTACCGAATACGCTCTCACGGCTTCATTTTGTTACCCTTTTATTTTAGTTTTCAGTTCGGTTTACAAGAAGATGTGTGTGCATTGTAAATTTTTAGTTATTTACTTCAGTGTTTAGTGACGGTAGAGTGTATGTTTATGTCTTTAAGTTTCTGAGTGATATTATGTAAAAGCATGTGTACGAATCCAGAGCTGACAAGGTTAGAGCCTACTGTTTGTCAGGAGCAAACGTGCTGTTACAAGAAATCGATATCAGATAGATTATCCCGACGTATACAGGGTGTCTCGCCGGGAACTGCGTCGATCGACATCTAGGAAAGTACTGCTTCGAAAAATTTAAAAATTTGGCAACACGGCAATGTCCCTGGAGCGAACACAACTAAAATATCTAGAACTCTCCAGTACTTCCGGTTATAACTTCGTTATTTTAAATGGGACACCCTATATGTTAATACATTTTCGTATTCTATGTGAAATTTGAGGGTCACTTTATTAAATATTCCCTATACCCAGGAGTTATAGATTTTGAGATATTAATTTTTAAAGAAAAATTTGACAGATACAAGGGTTCGCGGAGATGCTAGTAATTCTTTTTCAGGAGCGTGATAACAAGCGGATTTTTGGTACCTCTAAAGGGCATAGGTAACACTACATTATGGTATACCAACAAATTAAAATATTTAATACTAGCTAGGTGTTTCATTTTTGCCGTTACATTTTGATAACTTCAAACAGCTGTAACTTTATTAACTTAAATGGGACACCCTGTATTTTTCCTTTCAAGCCGTATACACCAGGAAAATTTGCGAAAATAAAAGAGAAACTCGAAAAAATTCCTATCAGCGATATTATTGTAAAATTGTCTAAAGGAACATAATACAAGACATCTCTCATCTCGTGAGTCAAAAAATTTGATTAGCTAACTTTTCTATTTAAACAAATAAGTGAGGAAAACAGTTTTTTCACTTTGCAGGGAAAACCATCAATTTTAGCGGAAAGTGACTCACAGACAGCTTGTAGGGAATAAAATTATCTACAAAATGAGACTTGTTAAATTAAAATCGGTGTATAAATAAAGTTATTGCAAAAAACAAGAAAACTGTCAATTTTTTAATTTGTTTGTAACTATCGCATTTATTGTTAAAATTTTATAAAACCTATGACAAGTTGAGGGTTTTGTCATACTTTAAAAGTGTCCCAAAAGTGGGCGCTGCAGATGCCATAGTATTCGCACAATTCAATTTGTTTATAACGGAGGTTCCAAAAGTTATGAACTTTAAGCCTCTGTACAGACGTTAATTTTCAACCAAACATGATTCTGAAATTGTCGTTGTAATCTTAAAGACGTAATTAAGCGACCTATTATATAGCGCAATTGTTTATAAACATTAAGACTTGTATTTTTCGCAAAATAAAGTTTACGACGTAAACTACGGTTTCCCGTGAATTGCATTGAAAAATGTGGAAAATTAACGACTCACGAGCCCTTTAAAGAGAAGGTACTTGCTAAGTAAACTGTCCGGCGTGGTGTGGTGATGGGGGAAGCTCGTCCAATCGAGTCGCGCGCGCGAGAAAAGTGAAATCCAAAGTTCAAATTGATGCGCGCTATAAATTTTGCAATATCTCGGCTTCTGTTCATCGTAGAAACTTCTTTTTTTTTAACTGGGGTAGCTCGACGAAAAAATGACAATGGGCATATTTACCAATTCGTAGAATAGACCTGAACCCCAGAAAAAATTTCTTCTTCTTTTATACTTAATTTTTTTAATTTTCAAAAATGTCACAAACATTATTGTTAAACGAAATATTAATTAAAATTTCAATTTAGGAATTATTTTACTATTATTAAATAAATAAATGAAGCTATCGTTCATTTAAAAAGTTATTTTTTTTTACATATTAAGCCAAAGTAAACTTATTTTTTCAACAGTTTGTTAGCTATTTAATTACGATTTAAATGTAAAATTAATGTAAAAATTCAAAAATTATTTTCAAATTATTATTATTTATTGTTGAGATTTAAAAAAGAATTTGAATTTATTGCAAAATTCTCAAAATTAAAAAATATTAATAAAAATAATGCGGTCGATAAAATTACAATTTTAACTTCTTGAAATTTTAAAATATATAGTTTTTTTTATTATATTCATTATTAATTTTATACAAAAAAATGTTTGCTACATAATCAAAATTAATTAAAAAAATATTAATCACAACCATTTTTAATAATAGATATAATGCAATATAATACAATATAAAATTTAAATTTTATGAAAAATTCTATAACTCCTGGGTATAGAGAATATTTAATAAAGTGACCCTAAAATTTCACATAGAATCCGAAAATGCAATAATATATAGGGTGTCCCATTTGAAATAACGAAGTTGGCGTCGACTTCCGGTATAACCGGAAGTGCTGGAGAGTTGTAGATATTTTAGTTGTGTTTGCCCCAGGGACATTGCCATGTTGCCAAATTTTCAAATTTTTCGGAGCAGTACTTTCCTGGATATCGATCGACGCAGTTCCCGGTGGGACACCCTGTACATGTACCGAATAAAAAAATGTTTTTAAGACTGGTTCAGCACTTAAGAGATTACGGGAGTTTTGTACGCCAATAATCTGATATTGGACAGGAACAAACTCGGAGATTAAGAAACAAAAAACCAGAAATTTTTAAAGCTGTGGAAGAGGACCCTGGTGCCAGTACTCGAAGATTAATCACAAGATTTCAAGTATGTTATGTGCTGTAAAAATTAGGTGAGTAAACAGTTCGTGTACTTATTACTGTTTTGAGTTTTCTATCGTCGTTTTTTTTTTCGGTGTTGGCGTTTGCTTCACGCCACCATGACGCATGACAGGCATCGTTTTGACGCTGTCATTTATACAATCATTTTTTTAAATTATATATATTTGCCTAGAACCATATGTAATGTCGCTATATGCACGCATGGGTGATGTCAAATTATTTGATGAAATGTCCGAGTTGTAAAGTAATCCTTGTGTACCTTATTCTGATGGTAGCGACAAGCGCGTCTCCTTCGGCGGAAAATCGAAAACCCACAGATCTGTTCATCGCCAAGCGGAATTTTCTATCAAGGGAACGCAACTATTTGAGGGACAAGCCCATAAGTAACGATTTGAGGTCGTTTATTAGGAAATATAAGAGAAGAACCTTGGGGTTCCCGAAGAAATACAAAAGAGAAGAGGATGACCTTAAGGACCACGTGTTCGTAGTGAGAGATGGGAATATAGAGAGATTGGAAAATATAAGTGACGTTACTGCTAACGTTCCGTCGGCCGATCCGTCCGGTTTGGGAAATTTTACCGTTATACCATTAATTATCCCTATAACTGTGAAAACATTTACCAATGTCACGTTCTGGTATGAAATCCTTATGCAGATATAGCCTGTTTCAGTTATAGTATATCCACAAAGTAGTAGGGAAAATGAATTATGGGGTTACAAACTGAAATTAAACAAATTATTTTTGTCTGATTACACAGGTCAACAAGGGTCAAGAAGCAGACACACTAATATGCATTCCCGAAGGATTTTGGTGCGCTGAATCCGAATCTGGCCGCGGAATTGCTCTATCACGTCAGGTTTTTGAGATATCCTTACCTAAAAGTGCAAAAAACACTGTTTTTCCTCATATTTGAGGTTATGTAGTAATGCCATATATTCTTTTTTAAAAAAAAAAGATACATATAATTTAAAAGTACAAGGCTCCCTCTTTCGAATGCCGTTGAGTTTGCTCAAATATCTTTTTTTTTTCATTGAGATATCACATGTTGAAATTTCTAAGTTTATCAGTTTCTTAATATGCGAAAATCTACCAAGGATCCCTTAGACGTCAAATAGTTGATTGCAGTTCAGAAACTTCATACTCAGAAACATTCAGTACATACGAACTCAAATCCACAATGCACAAATCCCAAATCCACAATCCCTAAACCCACCAACCCCAATCCCACAAAACCCGAACCTACAAACTCCAAGCTTACAAACCCCAAGCCCACCAACTCCAAACCCATAAACCGTATGGGTATGAAGTTTCTGAATTGCAATCAACTGCTTGATGTCTAAGGGATCCTTTCGCATTTAAGAAACTGAGAAACTTAAAAATTTCAACATGTGCAGGATTCTTAGCGGCCGGGAAAACCGGGAAAAGTCAGGGAATTCGTTATTCTTCATAAACAACAGGGAATAGTCAGGGAATTTTAAAAATATTCATGAAAGTCAGGGAATTTGATGTTTGCAATTGGAAATTTTGTGAAAGCCGGCCCTGGGTTCTTGAAAGAGAAAACTATTTGTGGTTTTGAAACCTTTATAAGAGATTCTTAGGGTATAAAAAAGATTATGGAGTCCAGTCGAGAAAAAATGTAATGCATAAACACCAATTAGTATGTAAAAATGAACTACAAGACTACAAGTGACCTGGATTTTTTTTTTAGTCGGGGAAAACTTGGAAAAGTCAGGGAATTCTTTATTACTTTTGAACTATGAACCCTGTGTGATATCTCAACGAAATATATATATATATATATATATATAGATAAAAAGAATAGATGGCATTACAACATAACCTCAAATATGACGAAAAACAGTGTTTTTTTGCACTTTTAGGTTAGGATATCGCTAAAACCTGACGTCATAGAGCAATTCTGCTGCCAGATTCGGATTCAGCGCACCTAAATCCTTCGGAAATATATATTCAAGTTTCTGCTTCCAAAAAAAAAGTTAAATTTTGTTGGTACGTGTTATCTAAACCCATGATGCAGTTTCTGTGATGACCCCTTTTCAAAACAAAAATGTTATAACGCCAATCAAAAGTACATAGAATCAAAGAATCGTAACATATTAATTTTATGTTTAGTAAAAGAAACGGAAATATAAGTACAGGGTGTTTCATAAATAATGCGCAAATATTTTAAGGTGTTTAAAAATTAATTTTAGGGGGGGTACTTCCAATACATTTTTTTCGATTTGAGCCTACTTGAGAAAATATTCAAATCTCAAAATGGCCGAAAAAATTAGATTTCATTTTTTTATTAAATTTTTGGTTCATATTTGCTTATCTTTTCCTATTGATAAAAAAAGAATTTTTGCAAAAAATGCGTCAAAAATGGCGATCGTTTCTGGTGAAATAATTTATTTTTTTGCTCGTAAACCATTAAGTATACGAAAAAATGGGGAGAGTAAAAAAAGATTCTAAATGAAATGTAGTGTTAAAAGCTATTTTTCTTGTTGGAATTGGCTAACGTAGGAAAAGTTGTGAGAGAAATAAAACCATAGACAAAAAACCAAGTGGTGCTAATTTCTTTAATTCGAAGATATAAACCAGAAAAAAGACTACCAAAAAATACCATTCAACTAGTTGTTAACATGTAACAAAATTCAAATTTCTAAATTTAACCGTTTTCGTGAAAAAAAAAAGTTTTTTTTTTGGCCATTTTGAGATTTGAATATTTTCTCAGGGGGGGGGGCTCAAATAAAAAAAAATATATAAGGAAGTACCACCCCCCCCTTAAAATTACTTTCTAAATAAACACCTTAAAATATTTGCACATCATTATGAAACACCTTGTATAAATTATAAAATATATCCCCCTTTGACCGTGTCGCTACACCTTTAATTTTGAAAACAATCTGGACATCCAAAAATCTAGGTATGCAAGAAATATTTAACCTTGCAGACAAAAAAGTTTAATTTTCTATATACAAGGTGTTCCAGAATAACGTGTACAACGGATTAGTGGACTCAAAATAGGCAGGTTTAGGCTAATTCACCTATACACGAAATCACTTCGTTTGGCCGCTAGATGGCATTAAAGTTCGTGAAAATTTTTTGAATTTTGTAAATAAATCGAATCGATTTTGATTATTTTTGGGGTGTGGACATTTCTTTCAATCTACAAAATGTGATATTATAGTGTTTTTTTTAAACTTACAACTCCTACAAAATTGATGTATGGTGATAATATCCGTTCATAACTTTTTCCTCGTTCAGACAACTATTTTTTATTTGATAGAATTTTGTTTACTACGATAAGATATACGCTAATTCATTTTTCGATATGGATACACCCCTACGACGAATTAGAGTTATTTACAACATGCCTAATTTTATCAAAATAATTCGTAAAAACAATAAAATACAATAAAAAATACTGGAGATAAAAGTAACAAAGTTGAGGTTATTAAATTTAGTACAACATATAAAATGACCACCGTTGTTTCTACAACAAAGGTTAAGTTGGCGAAGAAAGTTAAAGGACACCTAGTACTTAATTTTCACGAACTTTGAGGCCATTTATCGGCCAAACGAAGCGATTTTGGATATATATGTGAATTAGCCTAAATCTGCCTATTTTGAGTCCACAAATCTGTGGTCTTCCGTTGTTCTGGGACACCCTGTATATTCTTGATTATCTAAGTTCCTGAAAGAACATATAGGGTTGCTAACTTTTTCTAGAAACTTTCATATAGAAACTTTTGAATCAACTGAAATTTGAAAACAAAACTCGTCTTGAAAAAATAATAATAGTACAAATCGTAGGAATAGCTAGAACATTGAATGAATTAATTAATTTCAGTAACAACGTTACCCACTACGCTGATGAAGATTTTCCTTCAACTGAATCACTCAAAAAAGCAACTGATTACACTGAAATTGATCAAATAAAGAATCCGACTAAAGAAGAACAGACAGCAAAACCAAACAGAACGACATTTTCCATTTCCGTATCAACGATGAAGGTCGCAAACCATACCAACTCGACTACTACTGTTACTACAACGGAAGTTATAGTGGACGATTCCACCAGCACCAAATCACAGAATATGAAGTTTTTAAACAAAGTCCTTTCGGATGTGCAGGAACTGATATCTTACGAAAAGGAAGGCAAATCATCCGGTAGCAACGAAGGTGCATGCATTTTGTCACTTTTTTACATTCCTGGTGATTTATACGGGGTGGCCCAGGTTTTAATCGGGAAAATTCCTTGGGTGAAAAACCTAATTATTTTAAACATAAACTTTCGTTTCGTTTTCGAGATACAGGTTGTCGAAATTGGGAGAAAACTATCACATTTTCTAAAATAGTTCTGAGGAAGTTTGATGTAGACTGATGAAACTTGGGTCACTGATTTATCTAATTAGAGCTAAAAATAATAGAAACGTCAATCAGTTGTTTGTTGATGTAAGGAGAAACTGACCACCATATATTATTTATTTAATTTGAGTGACTTTTTTTTAACTTCTGAACAGGAGCCATGTGTACCATAGTAGGTGACTGGGACAGTAAGGTTGGAGGGATGCAACTTCAAATAGCAGCCAGAAATGAATCTCGTCGCAGCCCAACCGTTGAACTAGTCCAACAAGAACCCAAGGCTGAGAGTGGGTTTCTAAAAACTGGCAAATGGAATATCACGACACTTATGCCCTTCAACCACTCTTCGCTTATAATGTTAACTGCCATATCCGAAAAAAGCGTAGCCTCTTTCCTAGGTAGGTAGGTATTTATATATAAGAATATTCGTATTTTCTATGTAGGGTTAAGTGGGGTAAGTTCGGAAATGGCGCAACTCGCAACACATGAATAATGAAAAAAAGTGTGTAAACTTACCCCACCTTCCCTTAATAATGAGAAAAGTAATCGAAATAGTACAGCAAAAAATTTATAACGTTTGTCGTCTCGGATTCATTGCCAGTCTTCTATACTGCTTAAGTAATTTTTTTCTTAGGTGACTGCAGAATATGTGAAGGTTCAGAAACGATAACAGGCAATTGGATGTTAATGGTGAAATCAACAAACTGCAAAGATCGGCAAGACAGCCACTCCTTCTTCAGTGACGTAATGAGAAAGAGCAATATAAGAAAACTGCAGAAAGTGCACCTAAACGAGATGAGTACGATGAGTACTAGTCTGGCCTCGACAACGGAATTGTAGACTGTATTTATTTTTAATGCTAACTACATTTAATTTAAGAAGTTATTTTGATCTTTATACAAGTAGAAATATAATTACAAAAGTAGTGTTGCGTAAATCAATTATATTCATAGAAATCCGCTCTCTGCGGGTATGGTAGCATGGAAGATTGGCTGGGGTAAATATGAGAGATTGATATTAGTACACATTTGACCATGCCCCTAATTAAGGTTTTCCAGGTTTCCCTTATTCCTGCACTGACTGGTGGTTAGGGCTTATCAACGTAAGTCGTTTTTGAACACACATGGGGTCTACTGAATAATAATATGCCATCCCTTCCCTCGCCACAAGTCTTCGACTATTATTTAATTTTAGCTTACCGGATTTTCCTCCCTATGTTTTCAGGAGTGGGTTTTAGGAAAATGAAAACAATTTTAGCAAACATTAGTTTATTGTGTTTATACAAAAAAAGATAAATAATGTTGGAACACTACAATTTGTACATAATGTATAATTGAGACTTAACAGAAATGTACAAGACATCATTCAGATTATAACGAAAACAGTCCACTAATGATGGATTGTACATAAATAAAAGGACGTTAATATAATGCTAGAGAAACTAAAGGAAAAAAAATTTGACTAGTAAATTGCAAATCAGAAATTTGTTTTGCAACCAAAGGCATTATTTTATTCTTATAATAATTTGGGCATATTACAACAAGTGTAACGTAAAATATATTTTGTCTATAAACAAATGGTAAACTCATAATCTTTGACTCTGATCAATACAAATGGCGACACCCTGTATATTTGATTAAAATGATTAAAAAATGCTAACAATTTTGTAATAATTTCCAAATATTTCTTACAAATATATGCGTGTTAATATTCTAATATTTAAGCATTTAGATTTCTTTCAATAAGTTGAGATATAACCATTTTTTTTTAAAGTGCAATTGAAGCACACAAAAGCTTATACTGTAACGATTTTTTCTTGGTTTATTACACAGGATGTTTTTCAAGTTGCAGTTTTCCATTTAGCCTGATATTTTCAAGTAACATTTTTTCGACATCTTAACAAGAAAAATCTTATTAACGGTGATTTTTTTTGTTAAAAGCTGAAAATCACAAAAAATGGAATTGATTATACTTAGGAAAACATTTGTTCTTATTTAGGTAGGAGGTTATGCACGATATTTCCTAAAAGGAGTAGTGATTTCGGTTGATATGTTACATATTTGTGTCGCGTCTACAACAGACTTAATTTATTCATGTGGTATCATAGCTTCATCTCATATTAAACAAAGTGTTGATACTATTTAAATAATTGACAGGTGAACAGGCCACACAATAAGCTAATATGGAAGTTCACCAGATTTTAGTCCATGTGACTTTTACATATAATAGGCTATTATTGAGTATATCCAAAAAAGCAGGGTTAAAAGGAACTATTAAATTAGAAGCTGGAAATTGGAGATAGGAGTGAAAATACACCCCTTTCAGTTTTTTAATTGTAGTTCATAGGAAAAGTTATTTAGACAATTGAATTTCCCATCGAAATGGCTTATTTAAAAAATTTAAAAAGACAACTTTATTAAAAAAAATTGTTAATAAACAATTTGAAAAAAGCAAAAAATTAGATTTTTATTATTTTTTTTACTTTTTTGCCTCTATTTTTTTTTAGTAAATATAAGTATAGGCATTGATCCATAAAAAAAGTAGATAAAATTTCCTTCAAAAAAAGAGGTTATACAGTATTTTTGGATTAGAATTGACTAATACATGGCCGCTCAAACTTAACAATTAGCCAATTTTTCAATTTTCGTCGCGTTTACCCTTATACGTTTTAATTCTCATTTTTTACAAAAGGAAGGATTCGTTCAAGGATTTTTATCACAAGACTTGTTCAAACGGTCATTAAATATAAAAAAAACCGCGGGGCGATATTAAATTAGAGGGTTGAAATTGAAGATAGGGGTGAAAATGCACTTTTTCAGTTTTTTAAACATAGCACGAAAGCGAAGCAAAATTTCGGTGTAGTTCATAGGAAAAATTTTTTAGAGAATTAAATTTCCTATGGAAATGGCTGATTAAAAAAATTTATGCAAAAAATCGTTAATAAACAATTTTAAAAAAGTAAAAAATAAGAATTTTTTCCATCTATCTATCATCTATCTCCAATTTCCACCCTCTAATTTAATAGCACTCCGCGTTTTTTTCATCTAAAATGACCATTTGAACGACTCATGTAATAAACTATCTTGAACGTCAAAAATCCTATATTCAATAGCCTATTACACAAACCAAAAAAAATGCTATGGAAATCATTTTGGGATATGCCGTTAGTACACTGAGTGATAACTTTGGACAACTTTTCATATCTAGACTCGTCTAAATTAAGGTGTTTGAGATTTTGAAAAATGTTCATTAAAAAAAATTGCTTGCTTTATCAAATTCTGTGTTAAAAAAAAAACAACTGAAAGTTAAAAAACACCCTGTATATGAATCTCATAAATTTTTTTTGCTAATAATACTAATAATTAACTTTTCTGCATTTTTTTATAACTCAAAAAAAAATGTTGTACGAGTCTCTTTAACGTAGTAGTAAATGACAAACAAGTAAATAATGGAATTTTCAAAAATACCTCCTAGTGTATAAAAAATTAAAATGTATTGCTTATTATAAACAAAAACGGTAATGTCATACAAGAAACAATTATACAACTTCAGCATCGAAAATATAAATTTTTTTTTGTTTGGAAATCGAGAAGGCGAGTTATCCTTATCAAGTAGGACTTATACCCTCACCGATGATGTTATTACCATTGACTAGCGGGCTTCCTACTGCGTTCGTCATTGGCTGGTTTTTATTCCTTAATTCGAACACCTGTTGAATAGCGTTTCGAAAGCAGATAAAATTGTAGTCTATTATACCTACAATAGACGTCACATGTCAGAAAGACACTTTTCCCCAGAAAAATTTGAAGAAAACGGAAAAATTAGGAAAATTCGAGATTTTATTAAAATTTAGGATATAAAGGGTGTAGGCACTATGTTTGCCAATATAAAAAATTGCCTTTTGAAATTATTTTCAAACCCAAAAAAATTATTAACGAAAAATATTTGCAACACTTTTAAAGTTAAAATATGTACTCACCTTTATGATCGAAATTGTCCTCTCTCAATATACAGACTAGAGCAAGGAATTTATTCACCTCCCGTAAATAGAGAACGGTACCATTATTCAACTTAATTAAACTAGAACTCTGTTCGTCAAACGCTGCGGGATCTTGCTCCTCCTTGACTCTGAAGAATAAAACGACGATTACAAAGGCAACGGTGAACCTAACGGCAAAAAAATTACCCGTATATCCAAGACACGTCAATTACGACATCGATCATATCACAACACAACTCGTAACTCTGCATATCCACTGGCGTTGAATCGGTCGCAATGTAAATTTTGGACACTACATCAAACAGGAATGACTTTTCGATAGCTGAGTTCTGTTCGGAAATATGGTGGTCGCATTAAAAAGCCGCACATGATATTTGGCAGTGAAATTTACTTACTGTATTTAAAATATTGAGCAAGTTCTCTAATGTTGGCAACTGGGGTATCAGTTTCTGGACGACTTTCGAGAAAGCCTCAAAAATGGAGTGGTCGTAGATGGAAGTTAAGTGAAAGCTAAGGTGAATTTGGTCATAACCTGAAAAGAATCAAATGATGGGACTAGCAAATGCGATTTGGAACCAACAAATGCATACCAGAGTCATTCAAGTCATCGGTAGCCCTTTGATGAATGTCCCTTTGAGATTCCATTTTAAAATCATCTCCTAGCCCATCTACTTTATGGATGAATACTTCAAATTTTATATTGGGATTAATTTTGTAAGCTTTGGTAACTGTCAAGTTAAGTTTGTTTAGCGCTTCCATATAATCATCCTGCAAATATATGATCATGATACTTTGCTCTTTACATCATCGTAATCATTTATTTTATAAACAATAGTTATACTTCAACCATTTACATTTTGAATTGACAAAAAATAAATAACAAACAAATTTTATGTAAAATATATCACACATATTTTTATTATAGTATAGGCATTATTACCCTATAACACCCATGATGCACTAGCCAATGTGAAAATTTTGTTACACATAGTTGGTATAACATTTGTTTCACATTTAATCTGTATTGAAGTTAATTATAGATATTCATAATGTCCTAGGATGTTATTTCTCATTTAATGTATTTCAAAATAGTGTTTATTACAAAATAGCAGACTAGTAGGATATTGAAACATTTTGTAAATAAACAGCAGTCACAATACTACTTATAAGAATCACAAGTATACAATCAGATGTTTGCCTATCTTTTACAGCAAATAATGGAAAATTTTAAATTTCTAGACACAAATATTTATGTTAAGTATTACTTTTAATATAACGTATATTAAAGAATTTCATACCTGAGCATCGATTACAAATATTAGAGCACCACAGCCTCCAAAAATCATGTCATAATCGAAAGTGGAATCAAAAAAATCTATTTGTCCAGGGAAATCCCATATCTGGAACTGTACGAAACTAGAATTGTTTATATCATCCTTTACGATTTTATTTGTGCTTTCTAAAAACAGAGTTTCATTTGGGGACATTTTATGAAAAACAACTTTCTGTATCGATGATTTTCCAGATCTGAAATTTTATAGCAATTTAGTACATGTATAGCATATATCGTTTTATACATAATTTTGTTGGATTAAATGAAAACTGTGTAATAGGATGAAATAGTTCTTAATGTTATTACCTTCGGAGTCCCATAAGCAATATCCTTGGTTTTTGATCGCCTGATGATGAGAGAATATCATGATCTCCATCGAAAGCCCCATATCCAAAGTCTTTTGGGAATGATCCAGCGGTACCATCAAAAGTAACTTCCTCCTCGTCATCTTGATAGGACTAAAATTTTATCATAAACAAATCGACAAAAGAACAAAAGCACATAACCTAATATTTGCCCCAAATGCAATACTTACCATTTTTAAAACCAAATTATATAGAATTAAATAAAAAAATTAGCATTTGTCTAGTACGCTACAAATTACAAAATATGCACCTAGCACCTACAAATTTTTTAACAGAATTTGTTTTTTTTATAGGCTGCCAATTTGGGATTCTGCGCATTACTGCAACTACCACAGAACAGATCCAAAATGCAAATCTACTACTCAGAATAGCTGCTTTCCATTTGTATGGGAACTGCTTCTTAAGTGTTCTTCTGCTGTTTTACTCTTTTTGCCCCAAACTTAATCAATTGGCACACCTCACGAGAATCCATAGATTTACGACCTGCGTCTGTACATGACAGAGATATAGATATCTCTGGTATTTACATGGTCCATTCTATACTCTGTAAAAATCAGAGATCGGGTGCGGCACAAAACATACAATATAGGGTGCGACTCCTCAAGAAAAGTAGATTCACTCGGATTAGTGTAAAGAGCCGGATCAATCATGTTGCACCCATCTCTAATGTTCATTGTTCCAAAATTCTTGTTACATTCCCTTTCCATTGGTTATGCCGTTTTTTTGAAGATTTAATTTTTGGAAAGTAAAGAAATCTAAAAAATCTCATGTCGTCTATGACATTCGGACAGAAGTCCTTTACACCTACACCTCCCGAGAAAGGAAGTTTTCCATTAGATCACGAAGGGATTTGTAAGAAGTCGATGATAAAATACATGAAATGTTTGCATAATAATAAAAACGATAATTCATCTTGCCGAGAAGAAGCACGGGAATACTTGGAGTGCCGTATGGAGAACAATCTTATGGCTAAAGAGGAATGGTCAAAATTGGGTTTTAGCGAAGTAGAAAGTAAAAAATTTTAATCATGGTTAAGATACTTATAGGGTGTACTGGCAGTGTTGCTACAATCAAATTACAACCTTTAATTGATAACATACTAAAAGACGTTGTGAAAGCAGAGGTAAGTTGAAACAAAGTTTTTGAATTTGTTACAAATATCAAACTGATTTTTTTTTCTAGGTTAGGGTGTGTGTAACGGAACATTCTAAACATTTTTTTGATGTGAAACATATTCCGCATCAAGTAGATGTATTCTCTGATTCTGATGAATGGGCAGCGTGGTCTAAGCGAGGCGATCCCGTCCTACATATTGAACTAGCAAAATGGGCGGATATTTTCTTGATTGCTCCGTTGGACGCAAATACTTTAGCAAAAATTTCAACTGTAAGTGAAAATAATTAGCGTAGAAAGTTGTATAACTTTAAAGTGTATTTTTTTTAAGGGAATATGTGACAATCTCTTAACATGTACTGCACGGGCTTGGGATATAAGCAAACCGTTAATATTTTGCCCCGCCATGAATACTAGAATGTATGAACATCCTTTAACTTCTAATCAGATAGCAACACTAAAGTCGTGGGGTTACCTTGAAATTCCGGCTATAGAGAAGCTCCTTATATGTGGTGACACAGGTCCAGGCGCTATGGCTGAGGTCTCCACTATTGTTAAGTTTTTAATTGATACAGTGAGTAATAAAATTAATTAAACTGTTAGCGACTTTATTAGTTATCTACCTTAATTTTTGGACAGAAATGAAAAAATGAATTTACTACATTTGGTGTACCAGGTAAGTTTGTTTAAGTATAAAATAATATTAGGATTAAGAAGTGTTTAAAATGGTAAAATACTCGGTAATATATGAAATAATACTTTGAGTAACCTTTTGATCGGTCGGTTCAGTAGTGAGTAAAGAACCGCAACATTATTCGACCAGTGCTACGTCTCAATAATTGTTGGATATTTTGTGCTGTGTTGACTTTTATAGTGTTATTACTTCCCTCAATAGATATTTTGGAAGCGTTCAGAGCTGTACTCAGGAAAAATTTTAAATGATAGCTAAAATAAGCTAAAAACCTTTTTAAGCAATTACAATATTATTATCATCTGATTCAGAATTAAAAATGACTAGATTTTATCATAAAAATAGCAGTGACGTATTTAAAAAAATTAACCTGATGATGGCCCCTTGAAGACAAAACGTTGGATTGCAAAAATGTTGAAGCCATTGGATAGAGTGAAAAAAGTGGCATTGTAAATATGCAATTTATTTTAAAATTCGTTTTCAATTAGTCAAAAAAAAAAAAAATAAATGATTTTGCAAAATTTCGGGTTTTTCCGGATATCCCGGAATTTTAAAACTTTCTAAACGGCACTTTTTTCTGATTTGAACCACGTCGTATCTCTTACAGTTTCCTAGATCCCAATGCTATCCCATCCTTATCTTGGACAGACTGTATATTTTTTTTAAGTTTTGGGGGAGTTGTTAAGGCTTAAAAGTAAAATAAATATACTAAAAAGCCAAAAACCGTCCAGTAAAAAAAGAATTGTTTTTGAAGAAATATATTTATAATAAATTTCTATTAAGAAAATATAATAATGGAACAATATTCCTACACTGACGACAACATTTAAATATAAATAAATAAATATCAACAAAGCATAATAATCATATATAAAGACAATATAACAATCGAAAAATGTAATATACGTATTATGTACACCGATGACAACAAACATTTAAATATAAATAAGTAAATAAATATAATCAATAGATGTGAAATGGATGTGTTGCTTTTTCCTTTTATACATAATCGAGTTACAAATTGCCAAATACTACCGTCACAATGTAACAATTGGCAACAATGTAATGTGGTCGCTCTACATTTTCGTAATAAATATCACAATGGAAATTGTACTATTCAGAATCCGTCATAGTAACTCTCCTTGGTCGCCTCATTGCCTTCAGAGGAGGAGCACGTTCTGGAGATGCCGAATGCTGTCGTTTCTTTCTCTTTCTTTTCTTTCTGGGGCGTTCTGGAGGTAACACTAGCAGTTTCGGGTCTGTAGGAATTACCATTCTCTTCAACACCCTCTCTCTTTTGGCTTGTAATTCTTTTCTTTCATCCTCGGTCAAAAATAACTCCTCGTCGTCCGAATCTAGTTCGACGTCCTCATCATTTTGATATTTCTGTGACAGGAAAATAATATCTATGTAATTTTCACTATCTTCATTTCTTTGTTCAGGTTTGCTTTAAGATAGAACTGTATATATTCTTATACTTTTGACTGGCATGCAATATAGTAATTACTACTAGATTTGCTATAAGTAACAGTAAATAGGTGTAAGAATAGGCAGTTTGGAACTGGCTTTGCAAGTTTTTAAAGGCTATAAAAATTTCAGTTTTCATGCTGTGAAATATTTAACTAAAGAAAATATTACTTGCATTTATTAGAAGATATTGGAATTATACTATATCAGTTCATTAAAAAAATAAACATTCACGTATTAGGTACATACTTAAATGACGATTTTTTTTATCTGAACAAAAATGCGCATATTCAATTGACCTTGACATTTTAAACCATTCTAAATGATGAAATATTTCTAAACATTCTTCATTGGAATCAAATATTAAAATTAATTTCTTCAGAAGTTAAAAGCTGGTCCCTTTTGTGTACAATTCCGGATTGCGGTGTTTAGAATTTCCTTATTTTAGTTATAAGAACTGGCTTTTATACGGGGTGTATCACGAAGAGGGTCCAGTAGGATTATCTCAAAAAGTAGTCAGAATTGAAATCTGAAAATTTGTATACAGGGATTTATCAAAAAGATATATTCAATGAAAATAGTGTCAACTTTCTAACACTTCCTGTTATACCGGAAGTCATCATCAACTTTGTTATTTCAAATGGAACACTATATATTTTTGCATTTATTATTCTACGGTAAAATCTAGACTAATTTAATATAAGGTACTATATACTATATATTTTACATTATATGGTTAATAGGAAAGGATGTTAAACAATATTTGATGACCAATTGTAAGTTTTAAAATGTTTTCAATGTGTATTTATATAATCCAGTTATTATTGTTTTATCTGAAGATGGGAGAAATAATCCCGAAACGATCGTAATAAAAAATTTTTAATAAAAATTTGTTTTACAACAAATTATTAATTGTGACCTGTCCTCCCAGTAAATTATTATTCAGTAAAATAATTTTATACTACTTACCAAAAATTTTTGCTGGCGATATGTTTCCTCCTCTTTTGCCCACAATTCCAATTTTATGTAAGTGCGATAAATTGCGTCCTGCACGGTTTCATCCGTCACAGAAAATGGGCCACCATAAAAAATATTGTAAATCCTCAGTTTGTAATTAACAGGAAAAGAATCCCGTCGTACAGACCAAAATTTAAATTTTTTATTATACCCGAGGCTGCAATAAAATTTTACGTCCTTTTTGACGAGTGTCACAACCTTACAGGGTTCAAAACAAAATTTGATCTTCACGTGGGTGAATTTCAAAAACGTCAGTCCGGGTAGTTGGAAAATTTCGTGGATCTTCTCTTGAAACGCCTCCTCAAATACCTCCTTTCTTTGAGATTCTAACAAATCTTGTTCGGACTTTTCTTTTTCTTTTTCTTGCCGCAGGTTTTCATCTAAAAATGACAATGGAAAAATGCATAGATAAAAATACGAAGTCTTACCAATTCTTTCATCTTGACTGGCAGTTGTGACATATTCATCAGAATTGTCGCTAAAATACATCTTTTGTTTTGAACTTTGTCGAATTTCTTCTCCATAAGACTGGCGTCGACCTGTCTGTTTACACCGCGTACCGCGATCTGCGACGAGTGCGACGTTTTTCACATGCATATCGTGTGGTCAGGACGAATAACCGAATATGTTTTTTTATACCATTTGGTTTTATGAACAATTCACATGGGCGTCCGTAGAATTTGGTACACAAATTTGGTATAAATAAATGAATGGTCCCTGGCCCTGGATATTCGTCCTGATGATCCATGTGAAACAGCTGCTAGTTGTCGACTTGCCGCACGTGTACCGAAATCCAGTTTTGATTGGAGGGTCCTTATTTAACAAAACGTGCAGGTATATAGCGGTCATTATAATAGGGAGTGGCAGAAATTTCTAAAGTAATCCCCGTGCAGATGCACTTAAGTTTTTAAGTTTACAAATAAAATTGTAAAGTTGCAGAAGGCTGGTTCGCAACAAATTTGCGACAAAGTTATAATGGCCATCCAAGAATTTTCTAGTTAAAGCATCGATATGAAATATTCTAGCAGACTCGCAATGACCTTAATTACATAATTAAATTGAATACAACTTTGTTGAAATATATTGTAAAGTTTCTTGTTTCATGGGAAAGCTGCTGCTTTGAGTTAAATACTCGTTAATATTAATTTTATTTCTAGGACACCCTGTATATGTAAATGCCACTATATATTTATATATTTTTACTTACCTGTCATGGTTCTAGAAAATTGCTTTTAAAATTGAAGAATTTTACTCGTATATAAAATAATAATAACATAAATAAAACAACCGTAATTTCGTCATACAATAATAATTGATTTTAGAGGACACGTAAGTTAGATTGCCTGTAGCTATCCAGTCACTGTGCACTACGGAATATAAAAAACAACTGCCGCTGCCGCTTTAAATCGTTTTGTTTACAAAGTTTGTGGGGTGCACTGTTGAGGCAAATCCGTTGAGAATTTGAAAGTGCACGTTACTACGCTCGTGGGCGCGCGCACGCATCGCAGATGCCGTACACACAGGACCGTATTATGTATTTTCAATACGGGTGTGAATAAAATACGCAGTAGTTTCTCGTTTTTATCTGCGCACAGAATAGAACATTGAATGCGTTTTTTTTTTCTTAATTGACTAGCTGGTTAAGGAGCGTGCTTTGATAGATATTTCTCTCAATAAATACAAATAAATATGTGGCATAGTGTCACAAAACGTCCAAATTTCTTAAGTAGATGGTTGTTGTTGTAATTTAGGCTTCGCGTGATTTTTTTACTCCACTTTTCAATACGAGCTACGAAGCCGTCCACAGTATATTTACGAGGTAACAACCCCAGGAAAATTAGCTGCTAATGCTCGAGAGCTTTTGGCCTACCAAAGCCGCAGTGTGCCACAGTAGACAGCACCAATGAAGGCAGAGCGACCGCCGTCGACGCTCTGCAAAACCGCCTGTTCCGAACTTTAGAAATAGTAAAAAAAATTCCCAAATACGTTGAAATTCAAACTGAGGCAGGGCAACATAAAGACATACTAGTGGAACTAAGTATGTAGCTTTGTTAAACGTTTCTCTTCAAAAAATATATATGTTACTATTTGATTCAGGACTTTTTGACATATTTCAGTTTAAAACTATTTTTTGAAAAAACAGGAGGGAAATTTATGTCTGACGGATCGCAGTGGCTATGGACGAAGCACGCAGAACAAACAAATGACTGACAAAAGTTTATTTATCATCATTAATTTATTTCCTATAACAAATTATTTTAGCAAAGAAATAATGTTTAGTGGGAACGAAAAATTTGAAGCTATCCGTTTATTTTATGATAATAATAAAAATCGTTCTTAACTTTGACAAGTCTTAACTTTAACAGAATTTCAATACCTAATTAATAAAAATCAACTAAAACACAAATGATAACAGATGCTCAATGTGACCGCCATATTATTGATGCAGTTCGTATAATCCTCGTTAATTTTCAAAACTGCATTTAGTATGAAATGGGAATTAAATTCACTTAAATTTTGTATACACTGATCAACTTTATATCTTAGTTCATCTAAATTTACACTAGTTTCCTTATAAACTTCGTTTTTTAAGTAACCCCACAGAAAACTGTCCAAGGGTGTAAGGTCTGGGCTATTTGAAGGCCATTGAATATTTCCTCCATTACCAATCCACAAATCAAACCTATTATTTAAATAATTCCGTACTGCTCTGGTTCTATGCGGAGACGCTCCGTCTTGGTGCCAAATCAAATTGGTATAGTCGATCAGCGGCAGGTCTTCCAATTTGTTTTCTATTTGATTTTCAAGAAAATGCTGGTTATCTTTCCCCAGTCAAAGCACCTTTATAAAATATTGGGCCAGTGACTTTATTTCTCGATATACCGCACCAAACGTTAAACGATATGTGTCCTTGACTTAGAATTTTCCTATTACAGTGGGAATTTTCATTTGCCCAGGTATGAGTATTTTTTCTATTATAAAAGTCGCCTCATCAGTCCATAAAATCTTTTCAAAATAGTTTAGGTCGCCATTTTTCAAGCGCAGCATTTCTCTGCAGTACTCTAATCTAATTTTTTTATTTTGGGCGAGTTTTTGGACCGGCAAAGTTTTATAGGGGCGGTATTTATATTTATGTAACGTTCTAAGAATTTTACTTTGGTTTATTTCTAACTGTCTTGAAGCATTTACTTTGTGGCCTTTCTAGAATAATTTAATATTTGAATTTATCATGGTAAACCTCGAATGAATATTTGCTTACCTTCAAAATATAGTAATATAGTTGGTTCTAATTTTTCATTTGGAATAATTCTTCGTTTCTGTCTTTCAAGAGATTTTTGTTGCTCTAAAGCGTCGCTCAATGTCGTAAAATGCAGCTCGACGGAATTGGAAACACGGGATGCAACGAGCGTACTCGATACGCGCTGCATTTACATTATTATTATTCTTGTAAAATAAATGGATCTTCAAATTTTTCGTTCTCACTAAACATTATTTCTTTGTTAAAATAGTTTGTTATAGAAAATAAATTAATGACGATAAATAAACTTCTGTCAGTCATTTGTTTGTTCCGCCTGCCTCGTCCATAGCCGCCCACTGCGATCCGCCAGACATAAATTTCCCCCGTTTTTTCAAAAATCGTTTTAAACTAAAATATGTCGAAAAGTCCTGAATCAAACAGTCATATTATATATTTTTGAAGAGAAAAATCTAACGAAGCTAATACATTAACATATTGGGTATTCCATTAAAAAAAAATAGAAATAGAGGATTACCATATTCATTGTTATTTTTTGTTTCACCTACCATTTTCTATTTTTGAATCGAGGCAGAACATTTTATGTGTTGAATAAAAATCATTTTTATATAAAATACTTCTTTATTTTAACAATGTATATGAAATTAACATTGATAAATATCTGTAATTACAAACCATCACAAATATCCTTATGACATCGGTATTAGTTTTTAAATATTACGTAAAGTAAAACAATCGATTAATTTTTTCAAAAACAGTGGTCTGGACACAGGAATTTCCTTGATACAGGCAAGATTGTAATGAAACATCGATATTCACTTAAAATTATGTACAAACGATCCTCACTCACCTCTAATTTAATACAGAAACCTCGCAACCGCAATAAATATTTTCAGCATCTTGCTATCACAAAATAATTTCAATTCCTTTATAGAAACGGGCATAACACAAATTAGATTTTACAGAAAACAAATCTTTAAACAGTGGCGACCCCTTTCGCTTTTTGTGAACGTTAAAAAATTTATTGAATTTAATTCACAATTTTATTATCGGAAGGTCTGTTTAGTTTTCATATTTTAATAAATGCACATTCTTGCGTTCCCTTTTTCATTTTTGATGTAATTATAATTGATGTTGAAATTTCGATTAAAAGGAAGCAAGTAAAGATATAACGAACAAACTTTTGCGTTTTTCGAAAAACCATTTTTTTTAACTGGCTGTAAACATAACTCAAAAAGTTTTCAACAAATCGACTTGAAATTTTGTACAGAGCTTAACAATAACATAATTGCTGATTGATTGACACAAGTCAATGCAAAATTTTTTGTCTTTCTTTTGAATGTTCACTAAATCAACAATTATTAATATTTTTTAATTTCCCTACGATGTTCTCTAGTGTTTAGTATATAATAGAAAATTATTGTTTCATTTTATACCAAGATCATCTGTTAATAAGAAACCTTTATGGTCTGAAAAAAAGGTGTCGTACATGTACAATAAAGCCTTGTTATTCCCGACACTATATCTTGTATCGATTTTTCTTTGAATATTACATTTTTTCCAACATCTAGAGTGGTGATACCCCTTAAATCATTAAACATAGAAAAAGTTACGAAATTAGGTCATCAGTTGGTTCAAATTTTTTAAAATTATTACCAGTGGAATTACAGCCCTCGTTCTTGCAGATTTTTTAACGTTCTACACTGAAAGGTGTCTGCCACTGCTGTCGCTGTACTTACTTGAAACTTGACAGTATGTTATTACGCTTAAGGATAAGAATTAAATTTACAAAATATGCTACGCTTATGTACAATTAATATATAAACCCCAAAACTGTTTAACGAAGGGAAGAACAGTGGGAAAATATTTACAAATACAAACTCGAATTGTCAATATCTTACCGATGCCTAACCCAACATAATTTTAAGTTAAATATAGGAGATTCGCGTGACTTATAACATAAAAAAAATATATAATAACCCATTGTTAGAGTATTCGAATAATTCTTCATATGCAACAATGAAAATATTTACAAAATTCTACAACTAGAAAAAGTAAACTCTCAACAAAAGAGTATTTTTACATAATGAATTTATAAAATTGCTTATTTAGACAAGTGGCGGCTTACGGTTTTGTAACAGGTGTAGCTGAACGAAGCATATATACGGTGTTCTGGAAATAAGTGTACAAAAGAGTGACCGCAAAAAACCTGTGATTTTCGCCCGTTTTTTCACAATTCGCAGAGAATTTAAAAAAATACATAGAAATATGTTTTTGGTCGCAAATTACTTGTCATAAAAAACTGAAATGAGGCATTAGGGGTCGAAAAAATGCCAAAAATGAAGAATTTTAATATTACCTATTGATATAAAAACTATTAGCATGTGAATTATCTTAATATATTTTTTTTGGATTTTTACAATTGTTTCCGATATTCTCTATTTTTGGGGATGATTCCACCCTTTGAGCGTGCTTAAGGGTGGATTTTCTAATTCAACATACTTATTTCAGTCATGAGAATAAAAATCTTTCTTTGTATCAAGAATCTGTATCTTTGTATTCGATAGAAAAATTCACGTACTAAGTTTTTATATTTATTGGTAATATTCGATTCTTCATTTTGGGCGTCTTTTCAACCCCTAAAGAGGAGTGATTTTTGAAAATGTTCAAAAAACTAAAAGCTATGCTCATCTCAATTTTTTATAAGTAATTTGAGACCAAAAACATATTTTTATCTATTTTCTCTAGTTCCCTGCAAATTGTGAAAAAAAACGGGCGATGTTTGCAGTCACTCTTTAGGGGGCGATTCTAGATATAAAATTATTGGTATGACTTTCGAAAGCTCAATATTAACACAATATTTTTCTTTTAATTAACATATATATATAACCTTTTTTTAGATTTGGTACACTTATTGTCTGCCACAAAGTACCCGAGAGAAAAAAATCAATAACCTAACCTAAAAAATAATAAGTTTCTTCTCGGAAACAATTAATATTATTGACTTGCAACAAGAGGACTTGTCGCAAGACTTCTTAAAGGTCTTTTTATTAAGCTATTAAATTTGTGGAAAAAAAGACGGTAATAAAATAATTATGATCAATTCCCGGAAATTAATTTTTTTTTTCTCGGAAACGATTAATATTATCAACTTGGAACAAGAAAACCAATTTGTCAATTTTTTAGTCATAGACACATATTATTACCAAGAAGTGTACCGAATTTAAAAAAGATTGCTGAAGTGCAAAAAAGGTACAGAAAACATAAAAAAAATATCTTTGAGGTTATGTAACTTTGTTAATATCGAGTTTCTGGGAAGTGTCAAACTTGTACCATAATTTTTACTAATAGAATCACAACATAAATTTATTTCGTTTATTTGGGGTCACCCTGTATAATACTTAGAATGGTAACTCAAGTGAAAAAGTAAAAAAAGTTGTAAATAGAAGTTCAATTCGTTTTAGTGATTAGAATAGAAAAAACAAACTTTGGTATACAATAAGACTGAATATACGAACTTCGCCAAAAGACAAACAACCTTCCTTAAACGTAAAATATTAAAGCGTTACGTTGTACTTATATATTTGCACTCTATCGACCTGGGATGGAATTTTACAATTTTATCGAATTGTTTCGAAAAATGCGATTTACTGATTAGCCCTACCTGTTGCGTTGCCACCGTCCGCCGGTTAAAACTTGTACCACTACAAAAAATACATTTATTCAGTAAAATAAATAAGAATACAAAGGATGCATTATCACAAATAAATAATCGCTTTCTCGCACACTCTTATTCAATCGAAAATTCTAAGGGCGCTTTCTAGATTGGCACAGTTGGGAGGTTAAAACTTTCGATTGAGATGAGTCGAACCAAGTCAGTCACCTTATCAATTAAATAATAGAAAAATAACTTGCATTATACAGAGCTTAAAAACCCGGGTGTAGATATAACCTAAAAATATATATATCTCTGTGGCGGCCATCTACGCAATACAACTACAACGAATACCCAACCGATGCTTTAGAAATGTTAATAAAAATATCCATATAAAATTTCAAGACAGCTTAGGAAACTCCGAGATATAAGAATAAACAGTTAAATTAACACTTTGTATATGTATATAAAGAGCAAGATTCTTTAGTCAGTTAAGGCGTTACACATTATTTTTATATCACATATAATAAAATTTCAACCAGTCTTCACACGACCGTACGACACTAACTGGCCCGGCTCTTCAGGTGCCACCGTCTGGGCCACGGCAGAGGCCAGTTGAATTGTCTCGGTAACGGGCCGCCCACGTTACCCTCGAAGTAGAGGAACAAGCCGAACCACCACTCTCGGCTCAATAAGTTATTTGACGAATATTGCTGAAAAGGATAAACAAACTTTAATATCATACCGCTCCACACAATATTAAATACAAATTTAGTTCAATAAATTCGACAACAGCAGTTGGAGAAATTGTACGGGGTACAATGTCATTACTTTTATATTCCCTATTATTATTTATTGCGACAAATGTGTAAAGTCACAAGGAAAAGCCGAACAAACGCCTTGTTTGAAGATTTAGAGTTAACGAACACATTTAAGCTTGAAGGAATTCAAGTGTTGTTATCGTTACTTAAATATGTTCAGATTTTGGCCACAAATAATCCTGCGGAAGGATATTTCCCCTTGGTTCACAATGATAAATAGAGAAAGGGAACACAATTTGATTTCGGGATTATTTTAGGATTTTTGGACTAAATCTCGGAATATGAAATGTACTACACAACTCAAGTCCTGAAATCCCAAGACTGGACTTCTCATTTCAAAATTTTCCCTACAGTTTAAAAGAGAACAGACTACTTGTATACGCTGCATATATTTTTAACTGTCTAGAAACAATCTCTTAAGAGATTGTTAATTAACAATTAATTATTGAAGTTTAGCGCGCAAAATAAATGTTTTAAATGTGCTGCCGCGCTAACCAGTGACGTCATTTAGTGCGATTGATAATTAACAAAATTCGGTTTTCCTAGGATCAGAGCTATTGTTTGGCATTCCTTAGTGCTGCAAAACAGGTTTTAGAAAGATGGATAAAAGCAGAACATCACCGATACTGAGCCTGGAAAATTGAAGGGAACAAATGAAATGCTGTGTATGATCAGGATCAGGCTCAGAGAACCCGCAAGACTTTAACAGGACTCTGTCGTTTGAAGAAGCATCGCTATGATATGAAATGAAGAGAGAATTTTAACAGTGCCGAAAAATTTGATCTATTTGGTAAACTGTAAAAAAATAATTGTAATACTCACTTTAAGACTAGCATTGTTGGCGAACGTGTGGTAAGTCCAGAATATCCTGGTCGTGACGTAATAAGCTATAATGACATCGACACTATAATGACCGTGGGACAGCTCTAACATAATAACACCGATACAGCCTAATATCCAGTAAAGCCAGTGGACTAAGTATAATTTTTTGGGCGTGTCTGGAAAACGAACAAACATCACACACCGATCCGCAGACGGTACGACGGGATACTTACATTCCGATATAATTAAATAACTAAACACTAAAATAACGGTGTGGCCGCTGTAGATGAAGTCCCCGCAGTATGTGTGCTGACCGTTGACGGACAGTCCGAAACCGGACATCAGCTTCACCACCCTCTTAGCGATCATAAGGACAGAGGTTTCGTTGGACTTCGGCGAACAGGGGTAGGTTCTACTCGAGAGAGGCAATACGGTCACGTACATGGTGATGGCTCGGTACATATACAGTAAGGACATTATTAGGAATATCCTTCTAAAGACGATAAACCTAGAATAAACGTATTTCATTACAAATTCTCAAATTCATGTTTCGTTCAAGTAACGAAATTGTCCCAAATATCAAAATTTAACAGAGAAGTTAACCAGCTTAAAACAATTTATTGAGTCAAAAATCAGTAAAACAAATTCGATGTTGCTAAAACCACTCTGATAAAGGCTTTAAATATTTTACACAATTTTTTTTAAAAGTATTTTAAAAAATATAGGAACGGACCCTTATCCTTACTCAAAAAATCTGATACCAAATCGTGACGTAAAATTTAAAGATAAAATAAATATGAATAATACAGCAAGAGATAAAATTACGAGATGTTCATATTTAAACTACCGAATTTCCCTTATCTGTTTGACTACTTACCTATGTTTGTGAAAGATCATAGCTATCATACACGAATTAACACAAATTATAATAATATACTCTGATACATCTAAAGCCCAGTCATAAGCAGGTACATTGTTGAGGAACACATCGGGAAGAGGGCCGTACACCTCTCTGTCCGGCACGCGTTCGTGCACTAGACTCAAAGACGTTAGTGTTAACACAAAATTAAAAAACATGATGATCGCAGCTGAAAAAAAAAAGTTTCAATGAACGACCAGCCTGCAATTTTATTAAAAGTAGTAGCCAGTAAATGAAAAAAAAATTGTAAAAAAATTCGTTTCAGATTGAACCTTGGTTTAATCGTTAGTTTAGGCAAAAAGAAATATTTCCCAAAAAGTATCGGTTTAAAACAACAAAATCATTGTTTAAACAATGATTATAATGTAAAAATTACCAAAAAATTGAGTATACAGCTAAAAAACTTAATTTTTGGTAATTTTTACATTATAATCATTGGTTTAAACAATGATCTTGCTGTTTTAAACCGATACTTTTTGGGAAATATTATTTCTTTTTGCCTAAACTAACGACTAAACCAAGTTTCAATGTGAAACGAATGATTTACATGTATTACAAATTTCATTTACTGGGCTATAGGTAATTCACATTCATCACGATCAAAATAATCAAGCAGCACTATTAAAAAATTTAAAATGAATTAATTGTTACCAAAATAACGACCGCTTTTATACAAAAAATTTTATTTTTTTTAGAATTTGCAATTAGCTGTTTCTTTGAGATATAATTTTTTTGAGCAGTATGGATTCGTTAGTTATTTCTCAACAAGGTGTTTTATATTATGCGATTTGTATAATGCTTGAAAATTATGCATACACTGACCTTAGAAATCAGCGTTTATTTTTTTACGGTAATACAGAAGAACAACTTTAATTTGAATACATTGTTTGTAGAAGGTCACTCACTTAAGGTTTAAAAATAAATACAAGATCTCATCAAAGGCAATAACTTTTGTCAAAAAAGTCGATATATTATGCAAGTTAATAATTTTCACATATTAGCACATTTTCATACCTAGCAGCGTTTTCCACCTTTCCTGAGGAAACCGGGGTTCTTCCCGAATCGGCGTTGGCAGATCTATCGAAATATGTCCGTTTCTTTCACTGCTCTTTTGAATAATATTATCGTCGTCGTCGTCGTTGGGTGTGTTGTGTCCCCATTTGTCTCCTTTTCCAGGATTAGGCAATAACGGTTGTCTTTGATATAGGTCTCCTGGAAATAAAAAATAAGATACGTTTAAATTTCGATGTTTTTATGAAGCTTTCAAAGAATTGGGACTTATTTGCCTCGTTCAAGTTATTCTGACCCGATTATGATCTGTTTTCAGTTGATTTTTTAGTTAATTTAATAGTGCCGACAAAGTATTTATTTATGTAGAAATAAGCCTTGCAATATCTATCGAGCATAAACAAATGGGGCACATGTGACCTTCGCATTCGCATATTTTGAAATCGGCATGTAAAGCGTGCATAAAACGGGCTAATAAGATGACTAAAACTTCACCTACGTAGAAGTAAACAGTTGTCATACGGCGCACGTATCGAAAGTAAGGCGATTTGAAAAACAAGTTTAATTATGTTTATTGATGTTTAAAAATAGAGACAACTTCATATTGATTTTATGATGGTAATAAAATATAAATGAATCGTAACAAATTAATAAATACACTGATGCAAACAATTAAAGGGTCAAAAGAATTTGCGAAATTTTTCCGTGATTTTTGACAGACTGGGAATTAAAAAAAGCATTTTGAAGCTCCAAGATTCTAGTTTTTAGATCTTTCGGTCGATTTTTTTTAAGAGCTAAGGAGCAATTCTAAGAAATAGCGCGACAAAAAATTTTTGCAAATGTTCATTTTTTTCCGAGTCCACAAACTTGGAAATTTTTTTTTAGCTAAGCCATTGCATGGACCAGATAGCTTGTTTATTCAGCTTCAATTTCTTTTTTTTTAATTTCGATACGACCATTTTTTATCGAAATATCGGATTTTTAATAGACAATGATCCTTTTGTCTTCAATTATCGATATCTCGGCGGCAAATGGTCGAGCAGAGAATTGAAGGGCAGTTTCGAAAACTGGATTAAATTTCTTATAACATGCTGCCGCAACTTTTCGGATTTTTTTTTTTCATCTTTTACAGGAATTTAAAAAAACAGGAAAAAAGGGTAATTTATGGTCTTTTAGACGGCTAAATTAGAAATATTCATGAAATGACTAATGTTAAGCATGACTTTTACAGTTCGATATACCCAGAAGAACCCTGTGAAGTTTCATCTCGATCTAGCGAACCGTTTCTTTGTGTCAGTCAAACTTTTGAAAAAAAAAAAAAATTAGAGTCACGTTTTTTGAGCTAAAATCTTTAATTTCATAACTTCATTAAGTAATAATATGTAGTGAAAATGTATTGAATTACATTTAAAAACGTCGTAACTTTACATTTCGACACAATTAAACTATTTTCAGAGCATCAATGTATTCTAATTCATTTGTAAATACAGGGTGTTTATCTAAGAGGTATTCTTCTGTAACTCTGCGACTGTAAAATTTATAAAAAAAAAATAGTTTCAATAAAAGTTGCTGGAATCATGTAGGCCACGTAAAGAAAATATTTTTAGCTTTACAGGGTGTTCCATTTGTCATTTTAATTGGAAGACCCTGTATATTATTTTATTTTTGAATTCCTTGGTTAATATTAGGTAGGGTTTATGAAATGTACATGGTGTTTAAAACTTACCGTTTTCGAGATAATCAGGCATTCAATTTTGTATTCACCCATGGCAATTAATATGGGTCATTCCTTTTGAAAAAAAAGTTTTTCAACTCGTAAGATTATTAAATGTAACTCTCAGTATTTCCGGGTTTGAATAACGTACACGTTTTGCTCACAAATGACAAGATAGAGTAATTTATGCCAAAACGAACTGTGAAAACTGCAGATTTCTAACTCTTTGGGTTAAGACGCTATCTGGCCTCATTTAGAGAGTTAAGTTTTAAGCACCATGTATATTTAATAAACTCTACCCAATATTAACCAACGAATTCAAAAATGCATTAATATACAGGGTGTTCCATTGAAAATAACAAACTTATGTAGTGCCCACGCGAAATGGAACACAATGTAAAGTTTAAAATAGGTATTTTGTTTACGTGGCCCACATGATTCCAGACACCTTTAATTAAGATCATTAATAAAAATGAAGAATAAAAGTGGACTGAGACTTTGACCTTAAGGTACACCAGAAACAGAAATATAATTTTAGATTTACAGCCGCCATATTGTACGAATTGTCTGTGTCATAAGAATGTTTCAAATAATGTTAAATTATCGGAAAAACAAATTGATCTGATCCGAGTTTAATAATTAGTAGAGGATGGTCAGTTTCACCAAATGTATTTTGAAGATCTCTATAATAACGTCTACTTGCCCTTCAGCGTCTAAAGCTTCTAAGAAACAGTCAGACGCCATGACCCAACGACATTTGATTCGAAACAATGAATATTGGATCTTATATCAGCATTATATCGGAATGCGCTTGCGTCTGATTGTTATCAGCTTTTAGAATAATAAAAACACTTCAATATTCGATATTTTTATTTTCTGTTTACTTCAGTCCGGTCGCTCAGAACAGAAAACAACGAATTATTAGCAGCCCGACAGGAAGTAAACGAGCACCTCGTCTAAATCTGAGGACATCGACCGGTTCGCCATTATATAATCCCATCGAATATTTAGGAAGTTGGACTTTATGCACCGTACTATACCTGCGTCTAGACCTTCAAGGCCATGTCCAGATGTCGGTTCCGATAATATAATTCGATAACGCCGGAAGACGGTAATGAAATAGATTGAACGTCACAAGGGCTCTCTCAGGAACTTACACTCATCAAAGGAAATTATTCTAAAGTGCAGCTGCAATCGAATTCATTAGTGCAGTCTACTATGTCTAGTATTAAATACGCTCCCTTGATGAATAAACTAATATAATTAAGTCAGGACAATTATAGATTGTTTTTATTCAATTTTATAGTTTACTCATTTTTTTTTGTTTCAACTGCGTTGATTTATTTTATTAAGAAATTAGACTGAAAATACACAGGACGAAGACAAGTTCACCAATTGCAGATCTCAGGCGATGTAACTCCAGAAGGTTTTGATATTGTGTATACGATATTATATTCCTCTGTGGAGAAATTATTTTCGCCGTGTTCTTTATCTTCGTGTAGTTCACTATATACGTGTCGCGTATTTATATCCGTAGACGTCACAGGGGCAATAACAGATGACTGGCGAAAACAATAATAGCAATTGAATACAATGAAAGCAGAGGCACCGTTTTGTTTGTTCATTTAGATTTTGTTAAAACGAATATTTTATATAAGTTTCTAGCATTGCAGTTTTAATAAACCAGACAACTTTTTAAATTTAGTACTGTTGACACATGGACGTTTATTATGTTGTCAGTCTTCTATTTACATTACAATGGAGATAGATAAAAACAAAAACTGTCAATATATTTAAAGAAATTTCTAGCAAGAACAGAATTTTTAGTCATTAAGAGAAGTTATAGTCTTTCCGAAGTCAGTTGAACATGTATAAAAACGCCTAGCAATAAAATTTAATGAGTTTCATAGGCGCCCCTAAAAATGTTTTCTGCTAAAAGTAGAAAATAATAAAAATTTGTATATAATATCTAAAATAAGACGACGACATTGGACATGTCAATCTTTATTTTTAAATAATTCTAAATCTGTTTCGTCAGCAACGGTTCTACTAATTCAATATTGTCTGGCGGTATTTCGTTTTGTTCCGTTTCAAAAGATCTCCAAAATGCCATGTTGTAATAATATTAGTAAACAAAATATCCTTCTTATTTCTCCCTTTCGCAATATGAATGATTAATAGAAGGTGCCTATAATAAATTAAAATTACTTGAATCGTACCAAATTCCGCATTGCTGCACTGCACTGCTAGGTAATTTGTTCACAACTGAAATTTATGGCTGGTCGCCCAGTCCGGCTGTGTTTGTTCGCCGTTTGCCCGCGCGCGCAATCTTCAACTGGGCGACCAGACCTGTATATGGGTACGGCTAAATACATATGAGAACAAGTTTTTCAAATATTTCAATGACGAGTTGTTGCGTAGCGACCGAATCTGATACATACCGCCTAGCTCTTTGGCCTTCAATTGAGAATCTCAAGATCTGAACACACATATAATCGCATTCTTAAATTGGAAACTACATTAAAAAAAGTAATAAATGAAAAATACTTTTCGTCAAATGCTAAAACGAAAAAATGCAATTATTTTTACCTTCACCTTTGCTCGTTTTAATAGTATTCTTTATATTGTACGGACAAAAAATTATCACTTCGACAAAACGTGTTGAGCGCTGTTTATTTTTCGCGTAAATACAACTTTGGCATTTCAATTTGCTGGAAAATGTGGGCAAAAATACATCTTTTTATATTTTCGATTATAAGCGCGATTGGAACTTGGACATTTGCCACTGGTAAAACCTACGAGAAGGACCGGCTCCACTAAAATTTACCCGTAATTAATAAACTGAAGTTTGATTATTTGTTAAGATGTTAAAAACCATAACATAGGGTAAATTTTCTCTTATCGTCTAAGCATGTCTGACCTTGTATATCAACAATTATATAGAATCTTTCAATACTTCATGTATAGCGTATGGAACTATTTTTTTTTGCCAATTTTGATGCTCTCTAGCGACTAAACGAAGCCACTTTGATTAGATGTAAGTTTAGTTAAATATTTTCATTTTTATCCCAAGAATTCAAGACATATACGAGGTCTGTTCATTTATTTGTAACACCACCAAAGTATAAAAATAAATTGGTAACTTTGATATGCTCATAAAATCGTAGTTGTAGTGTTCATCGGAAAAAATATAGAGATACTTTTGATATTATGGCCTTTTCATTTTTCTGGTTAACCATAATGTTTATATACCGCTGTTTATTTATTTAATATTTTTATCATTTACCGCAAAATGATACATGTATATCTAAATTATAATATACTGTCGTAAAAAATGATATAAAAATAATATCGACGAATAAAATAACCCACAGAAAGTTTTAAGATTGATTAGCTTTGAGAAATATTACTCACCTAATTTCAAAAAGGAGGTTAGGTATATATATAAAAAAAAATAAAACCAATTACCTATCAGTTATCACTAAACTACAATATGATTAATACAGATTACTGAGCAAACATAATTACACCTGGCTTCTTTACTCATAAAAATTTATAGATCAATAAATTATACAAGGCGGCCTTCAATTTATTTTTGGTCGTGTCAAACAGAAATTAAGGTTAAATTTATTAATATGTAATACTAATTAGTGCTAGTGTAATTGTATATAAAAACAAAAATCTCCGTAGATCATAGATCTAGTAAACTAAGACTGGTCCGAGAAAGAGAAGTTTATCGCCCTGATGTGTGCAAGAGAGACAAAGCTAGCGAGGGCAAAACTGTTTAAAAAAATGTGGGAAACAAATAATGTGTCTTACGTAGAAGATGTCATGATCATACCGGCATGTTTACATTTTATGTCTTAGTTTATAAGGTGTATGCTATGGGTGTATTTACTACGATGATTATTTGCAACCTTTTCGAAAAAACTATTGTAACACACGTATCTGCCGAAGAGTGAATCCGTCGCACTCAAAAGGTCGTTCAACTCTCGAGAGCATTTTTTAGGTACAATAGGAATGTTTGCTTTTCACTTGAAACTTTAAACCTACTAAATTACGATGACACTAGCATTGATGAATGGGAAATTTTGGACACGAAGCGCACTTCTATGAATCAGCACCTAGGTTTTTTGACATTAGTCTTTTACCACTAAAAATGTCATGTAAGAAAATATTGCGTTCAGTCATGCAACAGAAAACAAAAGAACTATATGACCTACATAAGTCTATGGTGCATGTTTGGGCGCACTTTTACATCCAAAACGTATTGGTCGGAAGCTGTTAATAGCGTTCGGACTGGTGCACTTATGGAAGAGGAGGAAGAAGAAAACGCCGATTCTGGCACTCACCTTGAGTCATCTTTCCTTCGTTGGAGGTGTTCGGCGACTCCTCGTCCTCTAGGGGCGGCAGCGACAGGGATACGGGTCTGGGGCTCAGTAAGGCATGCGACGAGTTGTGCTGCTGGAAGTGTTGATGAGGCACGTCTGCTGTCGGGTGGATGCTTCCATAGTCGACGAACTTGGGCTCTAATACCATTCTGCAACAACACGGGGAGTGAGAGAGAGATAAATGTTAGATGATGCGTCTAATCGTTTCGCTATTTTTAATTTCATTCATCCCGTTATCTTATCCCGGGGATCAATTTTATGGCGAGTGTTATACGCAGATGTTTGTTTTTCTAAGCCGGAGATAAATGTTATGTTACTAGGAGGTATTGTGTTGCAGAGGTCGGCGGTTTGTATATTATCATTTAATTCTTATCTTTTTCGCCAGTCACAGAAATACATATACAGGGGTGCAACGTTAAGCAGGAGTGAATTTTTAGGGCTAACAGCACATGTTTCCTTGAATACGAATCTGAATATTAGTTTTTTTAACTGCACAGTAAAAATAATTATTTCTCATTCTACTCATTGTGACTGTTTATGAATTTGGACCCCGCACAAACCTTATGGATCTCTCTCAAATTTTGGGCTCATTATACCACACACATGCAATATATGGCTTCCGGTATATTTTTGAACGCTGGGCACGTATCAGTCTTCAGCAGATCGCTGAAGAAGCTTCAGAAAACTGAAGAAAGAAGATTGTGGCCTGTGATTCACATGCGATATGTGGTTTCCGGTGTATTTTTGCACGCTGAGCACGATTCTTATGCACTAGGTCAAATGTGCTTCAATTACCTTACCTTCAACTAATCGCTGAAGAAGGTTCAGTAAACTGAAGAAAGAACACCATGGTTCTTCAGTGGTGTGTACATATCGCTTGTGAATTACAGAACGCAATGTTCTTTCTTCAGTTTTTGAAGCTTCTTCAGTTATTAGTTGAAGACTTATGGTAATTAAAGCACATTTAGTACCAGTAAAACTCGCCCCATCTTACATTCAAGACAATTTAGAAGGTGATGGGAGTTTGGAAATGGATCAAAAGCTGAATGAATCATTTTTGATATGAATCCGCATTTAGAGTTTATGTAAAATTCTTCCGTTTTCAGTAAAACGCTGAAAACCCATGGTTTCTTTCTTCAGTTTTCTGAAGCTTCTTCAGCGATTTGCTGAAGACTGATACGTGTTAGAGCAAAAATGATGACGTATTCGTGTCCAGCGCTCAAAAATACACCGGAAACTATATATTGCACGTGTGGGTCTGATACTTTTTTGGTGGTCGAATGCATCCCCTGACTTGGTTGGGAGGGGTTTCCGAGTTTTGTGCCCATGAGAACTTTTGATTAGGATGCTCTGACGAGTTCATTCCCAAAATTTGAGAGATTCACCGGGGATCCATTTCCATAAGGTTTGTGCGGGGTCCTTTAAATTCATAAACATATTTATTATTTTTTTTTTTACTAGGAACATATCAGGGGGTTACAAAATTCGCATGCAATTAGATCAAGACGATTTCAGCAACGTTTCAGTGTCAACGTTTGAGGTAGCATTTTCAACAATAATTTACTGCCAGTTTTTTAAAAATCGTGTAAAAGATGGGACATTTTTTTCCGAAAACTTGCGGCAACATGTTATAGGAAATTTATTCTAGTTTTCGAAATTATCCTTCAATTCTCTGTACGATCATTTGTCGCATCGATGATTGAAGACAAAAGGATCCTTTTCCATTAAAAGTCCGATATTTCGATGAAAAATTGTATCGAAATTTAAAAAAAAAAGGTGATTGAAGCTGAATAAACGAATTATTTGGTTCATGCAATGGCTTTGCTGAAAAAAATTTTTCCAAGTCCGTGGTCTCAGAAAAAAAAGAAAATTTGCAAAAATTTCTTAGAATTACATGATAACCGTAACTTTAAATTTTTGCATTAGTGTATACTTATAGTTTCATAATTTTTACATATATTTACACAAAAGACAGACATTTCTAACAACAATAATAAGTTTAATGAAATTGTTGCTTATCAATCGGAAAATTACATGATGATAAGTTATCATCATGTAATTTTGCGACCCACGTAATGTTGTCAATGTTATCATTATTAATAACTTCAACAACACCCTTCATATAGATGTCCAAATCGACTTATCTACATATTATCTCGATTACCCATTAATCTGTTTTTATTCGACTACAACTAGAGCGATGTTTTTTAAATTGACTTAAAAGGACGATATGCTCGCCGAACTTCGCGACGCCGTGGGAAAACGCCTTAATATTTCGAAAATGTCCATAAAAAATTTAATATCGACCATATTCTATAATTTTGTTTTTTGATCACAGTAGGCATAGTTTTATCAAAGAAGTTTGTCGAATACAAAATTATCTGTAAGTAATCGGAATAACTGAGCTCTTTAAACGTTGCATAAAAATAAAATCGACCTTATATCCCAGTGAGTCACTTTGTCACTTCCACGGTTTCAAGGAGATTTCTTAAAAAGTTCTAATTTACATTGAAAATTAAACACAGTCGAGTTGTTACTCAACATCCTTATAAATAACATGCTTCGCAGCTTTTCTAGGAATTTTTCTGTTACGGTCAATCTGTCCTTTTCTTTTGGAAATATGGATTCAGGAAACAGTACTTAGCTTTCTCTTAGGACCGGATACCAGAAATGTAACACAGTTTGCCTACCAGACCAAAAAAAAAAACGTTTTATTTTTAGGTCTTCCCATTTTTCAGTTTTTTTCGATGGCTTATTTAAAACTTACCTAACTCATGATAATTTCGACAAGGACGTGACTAAATTCGAGATATTTTGGAATATACAAGATAAATTTAATTTAAATGTTTTTTATATATGTAATTATTTTCAAGTGACCTTAGTTTCGTTTCTATTCGGTTTGCGTCAATGCTCTACGGAACATGGCTCACTAGATGTTAACAATAAAACAACACGTGAAAACATGGACTTATTTCAAACCAGTAGACGGAGAATTATGCTCCCGTCTATTTTCCTTAGCATGGAAATCAGGAAAATCTTATGTAAACGAAAAATTTGTAATGGATTTAATTGAAACAAATTCAAAATTCTTTGTAAAAAATCTTATCAAATGAAATTAGACAATGTTCTTCGGTATCAGAAAACTAACTATGCAAAATATATCTAATCCAATATCGTCATGTACAAGGTGTTCTAAACAATATGCTCTATAATTTTCTCCTGAAATTACAACGAAAATATTGAACTCAGTATCAGTACTGTGTTGCCTAACAATACCGATGTGTCTATTATATGTCGATTTAATGTATGTTTGTCAATATTATGTAAGTATACCGCATATCGTATATCCAACAAAGCCAAGGGCAAACAGTAATAAACTAATAAAGTTAAAGTAACAACAAGCATAAAACACTAGCTAAATGCATACATTTAAAATTTGTTCTCAACAATCAATAATATTTTATTTGTCACTAAAATGAAGGATAAATACTGGAAATACTATCACTATATGTCTTATATAACCCCCTGTACGTTAATAAGATGAGAGGTAAATTATCTACTGTCACTTATTGTTATTATATACCTCAAACTTATATCAAAAATTCAGATAAGTTGACCAAAATTGCGGTTTAAATGTCCATTTAATTGGACTAACAAGTCGAATTTGTATGCTCGCTTGGAAATGTCGAAAACCTAAATACTGTGACAGTCTTGTATCCAATCCAATCCAATATTATGGCTTATAGCTAATAATGTCTTGTTTAAACCAGTCGGACAAGGTGTAAGATATGTCCAAGATTGGTTAAGAATTATCTAACGATACATATGAACGTATTATGTAATTGTCGCACAAGTGAGTCATGATATTATTTCGTAATTGTGCATGTCGTAAAACAGAATAGTTACCGATTATTGCAGTGCTATTACTTCCAACAAATCATTAATATTTTATCTCAAAGTACGAAGTTGTCTGTTTACGACGTTCAACTTGCTAGGACATCTAAAAAACAATTTAAAAACAGCTGCATTAATCCCACAGTCCGCCGTACGTTTCGATACTTTCGCGAGCGGAGAACTAGGTCAAGCACCGCGAGCGCGCCATTTTGGTAACAAGTGTTTTACTCGAGTTATCGGGAAAAAATGCTGAAGACATTGTATTTCGATTTTCAAATATTTTCTTGGGATTAACGAACAAACGCACTCTCACACATTAATTTCTGGAAAGCGGTTCGATTTATCAAAATATGATCACATCACTTTGTGGAATGCTCCCCTATTTTCAATTCTCTGAAGAATTTTGAACGAATTGCCTTATGTGGTCTAATTAGACCTGCTGTCTAAACCTGTAAAAGAACGCTCTTTCCAAATACGTGAAGATATACAGGGTGCTCCAATAAAAAATAACTCTTCAAGTCTGCTTTGACTGAAATTGACTGAAAAGGGGAATTCTCTGTACACGTAAGAATCACGGGAAAACCTACTTTTGAAAGACCATTAACTTTTTACGACACCAGTGCAAGAGAGCATGCGACGATGTAAGTCAAGGTTGACGCATCTGCTAGGTCACCTTGTAACAGTATCTCCTCCGAGGGGAATGAATGGTGGTGCGTTTCGAATCACAGTGTAAGCTTCATATGTTGTCGTAGGTCAATCTTACAAATGGTCTACTTTGTACGTTTCATTTTCTGATATTTGTGGTATCCAAATCAATTTATTGACATTTTGGTAACATTATTCAAAATCTATCTAGTGGAAAAAAGGTGTAGGGTTGTCAATTCTGCTGAAAATTAAGAACCACCTTGAAACTCCAAAACGATAAAAGATACCACCCTATATAGACACAAAACAGCTCTGAAACACTTCGATTCGACGCAGAAAGGTCCAACGTACACAACGATAACAAATTCACTCCGATTGAACCATTCCTGCGCTCAGCGGTTGCGACCGAATATTTGTTACACTTTTAGATTCTACATGTCTTCCATCTAACGTGGCACTACCGATTCCTTATGTAATCAACGAGGTAATTAACAGCGACTAGTCTTGAGTTGTCAGCGATGCAGTTTTTTAATTGAACTGTTTATTTCGCTCTAATGGAGACCCATGCAAGCAATGCCAACAAATCATGATTGATAATTGTTGTTTATTG